AAATCAAAATGCAATGGGGGGAGGGGCAGCAGTATGGTGTAGCTGGTAAAGCCCCCACCTGTGATGTTAACATCTCATTTGGGTGCCAGTTCCAGACCCGGCTGCTCCACTTCCTACCCAGCTCTCTGCTAATGTTCCTGAGAATGCAGTGGACGACGGCTCAAGTGCACCCACTGGGGAGACCCAGAAGAAGATCCAGGCTTCTTCAAAGAGACATGCATGCACACATGCACAAGAATGTTCAGGACTACCTTGTTGATGATACCAAGACTGAAAACAACTGATGTATGTGTACACAAGAAGTAAAGATTAACTGTGGTATAGTTACTGAATGCATTTTAGAAGGCAATGAAAATTAATGAACTTCAGCTACATATGGATGTGGATACAATGTGAGTAAATCTAAAAATCATAGCTCTGGGGGCTGGCACATGGCTCACTTGGTTAATCCTCTGCCTTGCGTACCGGCATCCCATATGGGCACCAGATTCTAGTGCTGGTTGCTCCTCTTCCAGTCCAGCTCTCTGCTGTGGCCGGGAGTGCAGTGGAGGATGGCCCAAGTGTTGGGCCCCTGCACCAGTGTGGGAGACCAGGAGGAAGCACCTGGCTCCTGGCTTGGATCGGCTCAGTGCGCCGGCCATAGCGGCATTTGGGAGGTGAACCAACGGAAGGAAAACCTTTCTCTCTCTCTCTCTCACTGTCTAATTCTGCCTGTGAATAAAATAAAATAAAATGAAATAAAAAAATAAAAAGCATAGCTCTAAGTAAGAAAGAGAACTCCCAATACCTACAAAAGTCATTTAGAACATACGATAATTGGTACATTATCCAGGGTTGTATCGGTAGAACAGCATAGGAGTGATCAACATAAACTCCTAAGAGTGTCTGTTCTTCAGAGGACTAATAGACCAGCATCCCAGTTATGTACGCTAACTCGGTGGTGGTTGTAGGCACGCTCACCCTACTCTTTACATATATGTTTTATACTTGTGTATGCATGTCACATGTTGCATTTTGTAGTGCAAATATTCATACAAAATGTAGCATTTTAACCATTTAAAATTACTTATTTCGTTCATTTGAAAGGGAGGGAGAGAAAGACAGAGATAGCTCTCTCATTCACTTGCTCACCCCCAAATGCCCACAACAGCCAGGGCTGAGCCAGGCAAAGAAGCTAGAGCAGGGAATTCAATCTGGGTCTCCCTGTGGGTGGCAGAGACCAAAGTACTGAAACCATCACCACTGCCTCCCAGAGTGCACAGTACAAGGCAGCTGGGGAACGGCAGGCACTGTGCTGTCAGTTACCCGCTGCTGGCAACACTGGTATCCCATATGGGTGCTGTTTTGAGTCCCCATGGGAGACCCAGAAGGAGTTCTGGGCTCCCAGCTTCTCCTGGGACAGCCCCGGCCTTTGCAGCCATTTGGAGAGTGAGCCAGCAGATGGAAGACCTGTGTGTGTGTGTGTGTGTGTGTGTCCCTCTCACTCTCTCAAATAAATGAGTTTTCTTTGAACAAGGAAGCTCGTGTTAGGAGCTGCATTACCAGGAAGCTGGAATCAGCCAGGTGGGAACAGAACCCAAGCACACCAAAATGAGATCCAGGCCTCCTAAACGGGCATCTTAAACCCTTTGCCAAAATCATGGCTAAATGTTTTTTAATTGAACAGTTCTTGGCACTAAGCAGAGTCATGTGGCTGCTCAGCCATCCAGTTTTCATCTCCAGAATCTTTTCATTACCAATTTTGTGAAGCTTTTGCGCTATTTTTCTTCTAAGGAGTTTTTTTTTTTTTTTTAAGATTTATTTATTATGAAAGAGTTACAGAGAGGAGAGGCAGAGAGAGAGAGAGAGAGAGAGATCCTCCACCTGCTGGTTTACTCCCCAATTGGCTGCAAGGGGCTGAGCTGAGCTGATCTGAAGTCAGGCACTTCTTCCGGGTCTCCCACACGGGTGCAGGGCCCAAGGACTTAGACCATCTTCTACTGCTTTCCCAGGCCAGAGCAGAGGGCTGGATCGGAGGTGGAGCAGCCGGGACAGGAACCAGCGTCCAAATGGGATGCCGGCACTGCAGATGATGACCTTACCTGCTATGCCACAGCAGGGCCTCCTTTCTGAGAGTTTTGTGGTTTGAGCTCTTCCACTTAGATCTTTGATCCATTTTGAGTTCATTTTATATTTACATTCTCATAGATTTATATTTTTACATTCATCTATTTATATGCAAATTCATCTTTTTGAATTATAACGCCTTTTTAAACAGAAAGAAAAGAATCGCAGACTATCCGCTCCCGTAGGAACCCGCCCCATTACAGAGATCTGGGGAGGGAAGCAGGAGCACCAGGGCTCATTCAGATGCTTCTAATGCCCCCGGGGCCTCGCGGCTCAATCCACTTTCGCAGCTCAACGCACCTGTGCACTGCGCAAGGCCCCTGCAGCTACAGTTGGGGCCTCGGGTTGGGATCCGCCCCTTCCTGCTGAGTGCCCGCCCACGTCTCAGCACTAGCCCCGCCCCCGTGGGCGGGCCCAGCGGGTCGAGGTCCCAGCGTTGAGAAACAGGCCCCGGGCTAGGGGGTGGGGAGGGAAAACCCGGAAAAGTGGTATTCCTTCTGGTGGCCCGTCAGCGGCAGCTTGAAGGCCTGGCCTCCAGCCTCCGTTGCAGTTGTTGATTCCGGACCACGTTTTCACTTACGCCCAAGGCCGGAAGGGAGCCGCGGGTCCCTGGGCGGGGGACCCAGGCCGAGGGGAGGCGGGGCGCGTGCTCGGCCCGGATTGGCCGTTTTAAAACGGCGCGGGGCTTGGCGGGAGTTTCGTGGGCGCCGCGGGAGCCGAGAGCAGCCCGATGGCTGCGCCGGGCCGGGTGCGGTCCTGGAGGCGGGCGGGGTAAGAGCTGCGGGTCCCGCTCGGACTGACGCGGTTTGAGCCTTTGGGGCTGCGCTGGTGGAGCTTCCTTGTGGAAGTGACAGCTCGCCCAGGGCCTCGGTTTGCATCTTCTCAGTGCGGATTTCCTAGGAGGAGTCAGGGCGTGACGCCTGGCCTGGCGGGTGGGAGAGACTTTGGGGTTCGTGGGGCTGAGGGTCGCGGGCGCTTGGTGCCTGCTGTTCCCCAGACGTGACAGGCTGCACCCCTGCGGGTCGTGTCTGCCTTCGTACCCCAAAGCGCAGACTGTAACGCTGGCCCTCACCCCTGCCCGGGGACCGAGCTGCCGCTTCGGGAGTGTTCCAGGGCGGGGAGCAACTTTTCTCAAAAGGGGCATGGCATTGGAAAGTACGTCGTATTCGTCGTTCACAGATTCCTGAGTGGACGCCCGGGCTCTCTAGCGTTGTCTACAGGCATCCAGGCGCCGAAAGGTTTTTAAAAACCTGTTAGAGATGGAGACTTAGGGCATGTGTTGAGCCCTTCCCTCAAAAATGCACAGGAAAACACGGTTGTCTCAAGCGTCCATCTTGAACGAAGCCTCACCTGGACTCCAGCTGAAGGCGTATTGTTTGATTTGAGCACACGCAAGAGACAGCTGGAAACAATTTAGGTTAGACGCGTACTGATGTGGTTTCTGCTTCCTGCTGACGTTACTTGACTGTGTGGCCATTGCTAGGATTTTGTGGGAGGCCATGGATTTGAACTGAACGTCAAGCCGGTCACTGGGCTTAGGTGGCTGGGGGAAGGCTCTGTAGCAGTTAACTAACTGGGCTGTAAGCAATGAACTGGATAAGGTGTTACCAATTGGTTGATTGGGTAGGCTGCAGCCAATTAAGTTAATGATGTGTGATCGCTCAGGTTGCTGGTGGTTCTCAGAACTTGCTTATGGTTCTGGGGCTGCTCCATTCCCTAATTGTTTCTGGTTTTGCTTTGCCCAAATAAACTCGTCTAAATTTAATTGAACTAAAACTTCCCTGTTACCATCATTGATAAGTCATTTAGCTTTCCTGAACCTCTGAATTATAACCAGAATCATAAAATTGCCATTGAGCAAATACTTGTTGTACCATTTTAGGTTTGGAGACTCAGATAAAGCGTGGCAACTTGAAGTGTGAACTCTCCACCCAACCCTTGACTTACTGAGCCAGAAACTGGGGGTGGCGCCAGGCGTGAGACCACTGCTCTAAACAGTGTTCCAGCTTTCTTTTTTTTTTAACTGTGATTCACACAATGATGTTTTGCATCGCAGTTAGTACGCAGGTGCGCATGAAACAAATCGGAAAGTTTATGAAAATATCCTATCCAGTGCAATCTTATATTTTCTGTTCCCTTGAATTTCCCTTTTAAGAAAATGCTAGGGTGAAAATCCTAAAGGGTGTTGGAGAGCCGATGAGATTTGGACATGGACTGTAGGTTGGATGATCACATTGCAAATGTGAAATATCTAGATTTTGGAAATCCGCTATGACTGTGCACATGCATGCCCTCTTAGGGAAGCCATAGTGAAGTACTTCAGTTAGGAGTGTTTACCTTGCACAGGCAGAGGAAGCAAAAGAGACGGTGAAGGCAACTGATGAACCTGGGTACAGGGGAGACAGTTTGAAATCATGTCAAATAAAGTACCTGAAGAATATTGGTTCAGACACACTAATCTGATACTGCCCTCCACAAAGGGGTCTTTGAAACTACAAGGCGTATTTTAAAGCCAGGAACTACGTACTGGATTCTACTAAAGTATCTCTAATACCCCATGCAGTGCCTCAGCTGTGGAGGGTGCTCAGTGCTTGTTCACTGAGTGCTGATGTTAATATAGATTTTTCTTGCCACTGTTGTTTTCAGTTGTTAGTCTAGTCACTGTTGTTGCATTTGCTTCCTTTTCACTTCTAGAAGATCCGCACCTTAATCTGTTTTACGGTGTGCCCAAGGTCACTAGAGAGTGTTATGGGGTGGGAAGAAGGTAGGCTGTGGATTTGAACCAATGGGGTTTTCCTGCAGGCTCCTCTCCTCCCTGGCTTCCTGTTGCTCTGTGCCCGTGCAGAGCTGTCAATGGCCCCCCTCTACTTCGTAGGATTGTTAAGCTGTGTGATCCCAGGCCAGGCGCAGATGGAATGGGTGTGAGGAGTCTCATCCATGTTGGTATCCGTCCCCTTGGCTCAGCTCTGCGGAGAGTCAGTCTTTCCTGACAGATCCGGGTGCAGGGACTAGCGTGACAGCAGGATTAGAAGTTTTCCATGATCTTGAGGGACTGAGGTGGTCACTTTATATGTATTGGCGATATAATTTGACTTGTATGTTTGCAGGGTATTGGTTCTGCTTCTTCATCATAACTTCAGTTCCATTACATGCACACTATTAGTACAGCTACTGAGCAGTGTAATTTGGGAAGACAATACTTGGAGAGAGTCAGGTTATGGTATTTTCTCTGGTTGCTTTAAATATTTCCTAACTTTTATTTTTTCCCGTTTCAGTGCAGTATATTCAAAGAACACTTTAAGAAGAACACATCCCATGAAAGAAGTAAGTTCTTTTTAGCTTTTAATGTGATTGTTCTCACAGTTGACAATAAAAGTAACCTTTGAGGACCTTAGAGTTTTCTGTATTTCACGTGATAAGCTCTGTTTTATGGTAGTAAAAAAAAAAAAGTTTATTCCTTTTCTTCTCACTTTTTCCACTGTTAGAAAAGAACCTTTGTTAACATTTTAGAAACATTTCTTTTTTTCCAAGCCTAGGTTTGTTTCATTTAGATACTTAGCACTGTGTAAAAATTGTACAGCTTTCTGAATTTTGCCACTCCTCCCAGCCATTTCTCCGTGTTACTGACAATGGCTTGTGATTTCATGAGGTTCCATGTTGTCTACGTTACAGTTTTATTTTTCTTCAGGAGAGTCTTAGAATACCTGTATGTAATGGCAGGTACGTTTCTTTAATGCTCTTGATAGCTAATTCCAAATTATTTTCCAACGGCCTGTCGCGTGGCATTGGAATTTCACATGAAGTCCAGGTGGTCGGGCAGTTGCGAGTGCGTTTGTTCTCTGTTCTGCCTCTGGCATCCTCCGGAACCCCAGCCTCCGGAGCCTGATCCATATATTGAACTGTACACAGGCTCTCCTTCAGCCAGGACTGTCAGCCCCTGTGCTCCCAGAGCTGTGCACATCCAGGTGGCAGGCATGTTTCTGGGGAGACGGCCCACCATTCTCTTTAGGGATCTAGGCAAGCTAGGGCCTGGGGGCCCGAACCAGCCTACTACCTCTTTGTACACAAGCCTGGGAACAAAGAATGATTTTTAAATAGCCAAAATAAACTAAAAAGGATATGCTGTGTGCTATGAAGATGGTGTGAAATGCAGAGGTCTGCATCTCTGAGTAGATTGTGTGGGAAGCCGGCCCTGCGCATTGCTGGCTGCGCTGTCCCTGCGGGCTTTCCCTCTGCAGTGGAAACCTTGTGACCTGCAAAGCCTGAAATGCTCTCTGGTGCTTTGTAGAAAAGATTTGCCAGGCCGGCCTTAGAATTTCAGAGGCCTCTGTCTCCTGGAAAACAGCAGAGTGGCTAGCTTCTCTAGGCGGCAGCAGGAGCAGGAATGTCCTTGCTAAGTCTAGCAGCTTGCGGCTGGTGTGCGTTAGCACCAGTTCAGTGACTTTGGTTTTCTTCACTTCCAGAAAGCTGGTCAGAAGCACAAGCCTGCTGATGTGTTTGAGTTTCCTGATAACTCCGAAATCTCAAGCAATGGCAGTGAAAGTAAGAAAGACGATGAACCTTACGAGACTTTTGGTTAGTATTTCAAAACTTTTTTTTTTTTAGTTATTTACTTCAAAGAGTTACACAGAGAGGAGCAGAGGCAGAGAGAGAGGGAGGTCTTCCGCCCGCTGGTTCACTCCGTATTTGTCCGCCACGGTTAGAGCTGTGCCAATCTGAAGCCAGGAGCTTCTTCCGGGTCTCCCACACAGGTGCAGGGAGCAGAGGAGTTTGGCCGTCTTCTGCTTTCCCAGGCCACAGCAGAGAGCTGGATCAGAAGTGGAGCAGCCAGGACTAGAACCGGAGCTCACATGGGATGCCAGTGCTGCAGGCAATGGCTTTACCCGCTACACCATAGCACCTACCCCCGGTGATTTATTTTCACTTAGCATGGTGTTTCCAAGGTTCATCCGTATGGTAGCATGCATCTGGCTGTTCCTAAACATTTTTATTCCTCGGTATTCTATTGTGTGGGTGTACCACATGTTGTAATCCATTCATAAGTTGGCATAAATTTACATGGTCTTCACTTAGGGACCATAATGCGTGATTGTTGTATGAACATTCATGAGCAAGTTTTTGTGTTGACATCTGTTTTCAGTTCTCTTGGGCATGTACCTCAGAGTGGAATTGCTGAGTACTTTGGTATTTGAGACAGAGAGAAAGGTCTTCCTTTCCTTTGGTTTACCCCCTAAATGGCCGCTATGGCTGGTGCGCTACGCCGTTCTGAAGCAAGGAGCCAGGTCTTCATCCTGGTCTCCCATGCAGGTGCAGGGCCCAAGGATTGTGCCATCCTCCACTGCCTTCCCGGGCCACAGCAGAGAGCTGCACTGGAAGAGGAGCAGCCGGGACAGAATCCGGCACCCCAACCGGGACTAGAACCCGGGGTGCCAGCACCGCAGGCGGAGGATTAGCCTAGTGAGCTGCGGCACCGGCCTTAAGCACTGTTTTATAAAGCATCTGTACCACTTTATTTTTCCACAGCAAGCTCTGAGGGTCCTAATTTCTTCACATCTTCTTCCAAAGTTGTTAAATAATTTTTTTCTAGTTATTCTAGTAATTATGTGGTGGTTTTATGTGTATATATGGAAAAATGCAGCATAAAATTTATAATTTTAACTATTTTAAGTGTAATTTTGTAACATTCACGTTGTGTTTTTTTAGTTGCTGTTTTTTATTTAGAGTTTTTTTCCCCATAAAACTTTCATTTAAGGAATACAAACTTAACGCATTTCATAAATACAATTTTAGGAATGTAGTGATTCTTCCCACTGTACCTACCCTCCCACCCACACTTCCAGCTCTTTTCCTCCTTCCTCTCCTATTCCCATTCTTATTTTTTACTAAGATCTATTTGCAGTTAACTTTATAACACATACGGTGAACTCTATACTACGTAAAGAGTTCAACAAATTGTATGAATTGGACTGCTTTAACACCTGTTATAAGAGGTATCATAGAATATTTGCCCTTTTGTAGCCAGTTTATTTGATGTAATGTCTTTAAGGTTCATCCCTCCTGTAACATGTCAGCATTTCCTTTTTATAGCTGAATAATATTCCATCCTATGTATGTACCACATTTATCCATTCGTCTGTTGATGGATGTTGGTTTGCTTCCACCTGTTGACTGTTGTGAATAATGCTGTAATTTACATGGTTGTACAATTTCTCTCTTCTGGAACCTGCTTTCACTTCTTTAGGAACATAGCCAGAAGTGGAGTGGCTGGTTGATACAGGAGTGCTGTGTTTGTATTCAGAACATGCTGTGCTGTCTTGTGCAGTGACTGCAGCATTTCAAATTCCCACCAGCAGTGCACAGGGTCCCAACTGCTGCTCATCCTCACCTACACTTACTTTGTTTTTTATACTAAGAGATACAACCTAATAGCTTAATGTGGTTTTGATTTGCATTTCCTAAATGACTAGTAGTTATTAGACATCTTCTTAATGTTCCTATTGGTCAGTTGAACATGCTTTTTGAAGAACTGTCTATTCAAACTCTGCCTGTTTATAATTGGGTTTTATTAAGTTGTAAACATTCAGTTGGAATGGTTCCACTTGGAGATTTGGGATCTGTCTGTTGTTTTGTTGTTATTCACAGCAGCAGGGTAAATAAAACCTTTCCTGGTGAAGAGAGTAGAGAGTCCATTGCTAGTTTCACTCTTGTGCAGGTGATCAGTAACGGTGCCTGTGCCAGCCCTGGGGCTCAGGCACTGTCAGCTTCCTGGGAGTCAGAGGCTGCAGGCTCACTGCTGTCCCCCTGGGCCAAGTGCTCCCTGCCACGGGGGCGGGGACTGGCGCTCTGCCTGTGACTCCGCTAAGCACCTGCGTCTCCGCTGCTGTCCGAGTCACTGTCACTGCACCACAGGCTCATCGTGCTCGTCAGAGTCGGCATCGTCCTCTAGATCGGCATCGCAGCCAGAGATCATCTGCTTGTCCCAGGAGGCCTGGGCTCTCCTGCTCGCCACTGCCACTCTTGTCACTCGCCTCGTCCCTGTCACCCCTCTCCTGTTCACTCTCGCTGCCCGAGCATGCGTCTTCACTGCCGCTGCCCTTCTCACCCTCATCTGTCAGGGAGCAGAGAGGTGCAAGTCACAGTTCCTGTCCCGCTCCTGGGGCCCCAGCGCTGGCCTGACCTGCCTGACCTGAGCCCCCAGCCTCGTTCTCTTCTGCCTCCATCTCTCCTCTTTCCCCTCCTCGGGTTCCTGGTTTTCCGCCTGGGCTTTGCATGCCTGCTGGAAGCAGCAGAACTGGAGGGGGCGGGGGAAGGCAAGTGCTGTATTAGGCTCTGTCCTTCCCCTCACCTACCATTCTCCCGTGGCCGGCGGAGCCTTGCTACCTGGGCTTCCAGCTCCCTCTTAGTCACACCCCGTGTTTGAGGACCACAGGCAGGGCCTTGGTGCCTGACTGCACTCCAGCCTTGCAGCACTTCCCGAGTCAGACCCTGGAGTGGGCGTGAGATGGGGGCGTGGAGGAATGTTTCCCTCCTCAGTGAGGACGCAAGTCGGACGAGGTTCCCTTTCCGTGTGTGGCCCAGCACAGACCAGAATAAACACATATTGAAGAAGGGAGACAATCTCAAGGGATTGGGGGAGGGGTGGGGAAGATGGTCAGTTTGTCTTGCCCCATGCTATGTCTGTCTACATATTTGTACACATACACACATATCTTCAGAAGGTAGTGGGAAACAAAAGATTAACTTGGTACAAAAAATTGAAATATGTACATAATTTTTTAAAAGATTTTATCTATTTGAAAGTCAGGGTTACACAGAGGAGAGGCACAGAGAGAGGTCTTCCATCTGGTGGTTCACTCCTCAGATGGCTGTGACGGACAGAGCTGCACCGATCTGAAGCCAGGAGCCAGGAGCCAGGAGCTTCTTCTGGGTCTCTCACACAGGTGCAGGGGCCCAAGGACTTGGGCCATCTTCCAGTGCTTTCCCAGGCCATAGCACAGAGCTGGTCGAAAGTGGAGCAGCCGGGTCTTGAACCGGCGCCCATAAGGGATGCCGGTGTGTCAGGCCAGGACATTAACCCGCTGTGCAACAGTGCTGTCCCCTGTACATATTTTATAAATTTTTTTCTGTGAGCTTTCTGAATATTCTGCTTATGCATAGATTTTTTTTTTTTTGCTCCAAAATAAACATTTTTATCCTCCCCCCCAAGAAATAACTTGTGCAATTGACAGTTCATTATTTAAGCACCTGTATGTCTGGAAAATTTTGCTTGCATTTGCACTGGTGTGCTAAAATTTGAGCCTGAAGAAATAGTAGCTTGAGTCTTACCAGGACCCCCTCCCCCTGCAGCACTTCTGGCCACCTCACTGCCCTGCCAAGTTCATTACCACCATAAGCCCAGCCTAGTGCACCGAGGTCTCCTGTACTCCCCTTTCCTGGGCAGCCAGAGCATCCTCCCTCCTCCAAGCATCTCCTTTCTATGCCTTTCTACCAGGACCAGTTCTTTGGTCATCTTCTTCATTCGAGGTGACTTTTTATGCCATTCAAAGGCTCTAGCAACCCAGAGTGAAAGAGAGGAAGGGGAGTGATATGGAAAAGCATTTGGGAGTGGCCTGTAGGACTGATTTTGGTTTTGTTAACCATTTAAACACAGACGGTGTAGTACTCCAGTATCAGGGAATGGACACTGCCCACATAGACCACTGAAGTTGTACATTTTTGGTCTTATATAGATCCTCCCCTACACAGCACTGCTATATATGCTGATGAAGAAGAACTCTCCCAACACTGTGGGTCATCTGTCCCTTCAACTCCTCCAGGAAAAGCAACGAAAGAAAGGTAGGGTTACGTCAAGCCATTGTTGGTTCACGCTCTGAGATTTCTGGGAAGTTCTTCAAGTTAGAAGCTAATAAAACCCAAGTTTTGACATTTATTTTGAGAGTGTGAACATTAAAAACTAATTTCTCTATAATTGGCCTTACCTATAATAATTTTTGTAATTAACATAATTGACACCTGAATGACCCAGAATACCTGCCTGTAGTGGTCTTGTTTGTTTTCTTCTGCTGTAGTAATAGGAATACTTCTCCCCCTTCTAGTAATAGAATGGTTTTAGCTGGACACATGGCTGTCAGAATTCTAAACATACTGTCTCCGTGCTGTTGCAGCTGAGATGTGTGTGTGTGTGATTAGATTCTAGCTAAAATGGAGTCTAACTTCTGAAAGTCTCTTTGTGGGGAGGATTGTGCTCTTCTGTTTTCCATCCTTCTTCCTCCTAGTTAGAATGGGATGTGGTGGTGAAGACCGAGCAACCATGTTGGGCCGTGAGGCAGTGTACTGAGAGAGCAATGGATACAAGGCACCTGGGTCTCCTGATAACGGGACTACTACACCAGCCCTAAATTATTCTGGAGTTTGGCCAAGAAGGAAAGACAAGTGTCTTATCTGAGCCATTTTGGGAATATATTTTTTACAATGTGCAGCCATCCTAATTCTCTCTCGTAAACTTGGTAAAGAGAGTTTTATCCTTATCCTAAGAGCAGTTGGAGGGTTTTAAGTAGGGGATGACATGGTAGGATCTACATTTAAAAATTACCAGCCTCGCTGCTGTCTGGCAAGTGGATTTGAGAGAGACAAGAATGGCATAGGGAGCCCAGTTTGGATGCTGTAGACTCAGGTCATCACGGTAGAGGTGGAGAGAAGTGGATGCACTTGAGAAGTAGGAGGCAAATGAGCAAGACTTAGTGATGTGCTGACTTCGCAGTACAGGACAAGTTGCTACCGGAGGTAACTCCTGAATTCCTTGCCTGCTTGAATGGATTGATGATGGTGCCATTGACTAAGATACGGGCTGCTGGGACATGGAGTTGTGTGGGCAGATCATCAGTTTGACGTGGAGATGTCAGAGACCCTGTGTATTTGAGTCTGGAACTCAGAGCACAGGGCTGAGCTGGAGTTAGACGTTCTTTGCACGCGGATGGTATGAAGCTAACCTGAGAGGAGGCAAGGGCCTGGGACTAACCCATAAGAGGCCATGGCATCTACTGCCTGAGTAGAGAAGGAAGTTGTAGAGGAGAGAGGGGGAAAGTGGCTGGAAAAGAGAGAGGAGAACCAGGGCAGTGTTTATTCACAGAATTGTGTGTGTGTGAGTGAGGTGGGGGGAGGGAAATGGGAGAGAGGAGGGAGGGAGAGAAATTAAGTAAGGAGGGTCAAATGCAGCTGAGAAGCACGTGAGGCGAGGCCTGAGCGTTCTTTGCATTTAACCAGAGACTGTTCTTGGTAACCTTGGTTTTGGTGTCATGTCAAGTCCCAACAAGAGACATCATTTGGGTAAGTAATGCAGGTAAACAGAAAAGGAAGTTGGGGCAGCAGGGACGCACCCACTACAGAGAGACCAACAGCATTTCTCAGAAACCAGGTATGAAACCCAGGTCCTCAGGTGTGGAATTTGGGCATAGTCATCACTAGCCTAAACGCCCACCTGAGGCCTCAGTTTTAAAGTGAGTGCATTTGTGGTTGTTACGTGTTTGATGGATTGTATTTAATGAAAAGATGAAAATTCTCACCTTCCATCAGAAGTCAGGGTTACTTTTAGGGCGAAAGAGGAGATTCCCTGTTGGATCACCAGAGTTGAGTCTAGTGGATTAGCTTTTGGTACAGAGGACGGCCCTGGTAATCTGGAGGGAGGCGCAGTTCTCGGACATGACCAAACTGCAGCAGCCCTGGAGCGCTGCCGTCTGCCCGCCTGGGACAAACCAATGTGGCTGGGTCTGGGAGGCGGCCAATGAATCTAGGAAGGCGACCGGCCTGCCCGTGACAAACTGGCTAGCCCCACAGTAAACTGAGCGGTGCTCGTGTCGGGGGAGCAGCTCGTAGAACCGTGTGCGAATGTGTGCAAGATACTGATGGCTTGTTCTTTCCTACAGCTTGAGCACTTCTGCAGGTGAAGCAAGTGAAAGCGCGTCTGTAAAACTGAGAGCCACAAAGGTACGTGCGCCTGTTCTTCAGACTCCGACAGGCATTCACACTCCAGTTGACTGTGGAGAGTGTTCTGTGGCGGCAGTTTTCATAAAGCGCTATGTTCCAGAGGACGTTTTTGGGCTAAAAGTGAGTTTTTAAAACCTGAAGTGCTTTTCGTTAAGGCACGGTGCAGACGCCTCTGCCAGTTTTCAGAGCGGTGGCGCGCCGTGTTGGGGCTGGGGCCTCAGCGGCAGAGGGGATGGTGGGGAGTGTTGACGTGGAGCTCTGGCTTGTAGATTTCCTGTTCTGTCCACTGCTCAGCTGCCATCTCCCTGGGCTATAGAAGCTCGCTCCGCAGCGTGGCGCCATTGCCGTCAGGAGGGTGAGCGGTCGTGTTTTCCAGACCCGTGACGCTGTTTGCTTCTCGCAGCCAGGAAGAAGATGTAAGCCCCTTAGCGATGGCTCTGACAGCTCGGGAGAAAGTGAGATACGAAGAAAAGTTCAGTCACCAGAGAGAATCGGTGCGCGACGGTGTGACGCTGTTCCGGCCGGGGCGCCGTCGGGGCTTCCCGAGAGACGGCCGCGGTCAGAGAGGCCCGAGGCGGGAGGCGGCCGTGGCAGCGGTGCACCTGCGGACGGAGGGACCCCGGCCATGGTGAGGTCGCCCCGCGGGAAAGAAAAGGTTTACTGGAAAATGGTGTATTTTCTTTACTTCCTTTGTTCTTTCAAACGATGAATGTTACATTCTTCTGTTGATAAACATGTTTTAGGAACTCTAGAAGAGAACATCAAACTCCCCTCCGCTTCTGCAGCCCCAAACTAGCCTCGGGGATCCTCAGCCCTACGGCTGGGCATTTCTCACCCTCGGTGGGCTCCCGCACTGGTCATGAAGTACCCCACAGTGCCTTTCTAACAGACACAAACAGGGGCCGCCAATGTGGCACAGCAGGTCAAAGCCCCAGTCTGCAGCCCGGGCATCCCATATGGACGCCAGCTCAGGTCCCGGCTGCACCACTTCCAAGCCCGCTCCCTGCTGTTGTGCCTGGGAAAGCAGCAGCAGAAGATGGCCCAGCTGTTGGACCCTGCACAGACATGGGGGAAGCTCCTGGCTCAGCTCTGGCCCTTGCAGCCATCTGGGGAGTGAACTGGTGGGTGGAAGACATCTCCGCCTCCCTACCTCTGTCTATAACACTTTCAAATAAAGAAATATTTTTTAAAACATGCGAAACATTCTGTCCACGGATATGCCACAGTTGAATTACTCGTATTAATGAATAGCTGTGCTTAGACAGTTTTTAAGTGCCTTCATGAAGTCCTTTGTAGCTAAATCTTGGTGTGCACCCCTGATCCTTTCCTTAGAAAAAATTCTGATAAAATTTCTCAGAATTTGTTCTAAGATTCTTGACATAGTTTGGTCAAGTTGTTAATATGTCACTGTACTCACTTGGTTTAATATGTTGAATAAATAATTCTCGTCATGTTTGAAAAAATGTTACAGAATAGTAAAATGTTCCTGCTACCCCATTTTCCACTTTCCACCTTCCCACTCACTAAATGTACACATAGGTAATTAGTTTCTTACATATTCTTCCAGAATTTCCTTCTGCATGTACGAGGAAATATCAATATGTTTTCTTATTTCTTTTTCATTTATTTCAAAGAGTTACAGAGAGACAAGCAGAATGGGGGCGGGGTGATCTTCATCCACTGGTTCACTCCCCAGAAAGAGAGAGAGAGAGGTCTTCCATCCTTCCATCCACTGGTTCACTCCCCAGATTGGCTGCAACTGCCATGGCTAGGCCAGGCTGAAACTGGGGTTAGCAGTTTCATCCAGGTCTCCCATGTGGGAGGCAGGGGCCCAAGAACTTGGGCCATCTTCCACTGCTTTTCCCAGGCCATCAACAGGCAGTTGGATCGGAAGTAGAACAGCTGGGACAGGAACTGGCACCCATGTGGGATGCCAGCATTGTAGGTGGCAGCTTTGCCTGCTGTGTCACGACATAGGCCCCTGCGTTATGCATGTTCTGCCTCTTACTTACTAGGTCTGTCTCGGTGAACATCCCTGTGACTTGAATTTGCAGTTGTCAGGCATGGTGTTCTGAAAGTCAGCTGACGTCAAGTTGGCTGATGGTGAAGTTAAGATGCTGTGGGTCCTTCCTGCTTTGGTTGTTTGGAGGGTTTTTTCATTTTGTTTTTTGATGAGGGGCGTCATAGTCTACTTGATCTGTCAGATACATAGATTTTTTTTAACATCATAACGTTATGAATTTTCTCTAGTTCTTGGAAGTTTTGTGTCATGAACTTGAAGCTTTGTTTTCCCCTAAAGCTTTTTATCATTATATATTATTTTAAATTAATCATTTATGGGATACATGTGATGTTTTGATATATATATATTGTGAATGATTAGCTCAAGGTAATATATCCATCCACCTGTACACTTACCCTTTCTTGTACTGAAACATTTGAAATTTCTCATAGCTATTTTTGAGATATACATTGTTATTTGCTGCAGTCATTAGGCTGTGTGATCTCAAAAACTTATTTCTCTTTTCTCTCTGAAGCTTTGTACCTTTTTTTTTTTTTAAATATTTATTTATTTGAAAGGCAGAGTTAGAGAAAGGGAGAAATAGGGAGACAGGGGGATCTTCCATCTACTGATTCACTCCTCAAATGGCCACAACAGCTAGGGTTGGATCAGGCCAAAGCCTGGAGCCAGGAGCTTCATCCAGGTCACCCACATGGGTGCAGGGGTCCAAGTAGTAAGGATATCTTCTGCTGCTTTCCCAGGCACATCAGCAGGGAGCTGGATCAGAAGTGGAGCAGCCAGGACTCGAACTGGTGCCCTTGTGGGATGCATTATACTGGCCCTGCTTTGTACCCTTTAATGAGTACTTCCCTACTCCCACCACTCTCCAGCCTCTGGAAACCACCATTCCACTCTATATAAAGCTGTTTCTAATTGTGTGTTTAAGTATGTGTCTTTCTGATGAATTGCTTCTAGTATTATTATGAAATCTTGAAAATCTCTGTTGTGAGATCTTAATATAGCTACAAGAGCCTTCTTAAGCTTACTTTGCATGGTAAACTTTTTTTAAAATTCATTAATTTTCAATTTGTCTTTGTCTTTAAATTTAAAAAGGACTTCAGGCAGCAAGTCCTTATCCTGGTTTGATGTTCTCTGTCTTTGGATTGGATTGTTTGTTCATTTGCTTGTAATGTAATTATTGAAATGGTTTGGTTTAAGTCAACTATTTTGCTGTTTATTTTCCATCTGTACCTCCTGTCCCTCCAATTCTCTAAAAATCCATTTTTATATAATTTTAAATATTATATTCAACTCAATCTTAGTATTTTCCATTTCTTGTTTTTCTGTCCTTCTATTGCTAATTTTTGATTAATTGAATATTCTTCAATATTCTGCTTTATTTTCTCTATTAGCTTATGAGCCATGCTTTTTTTTTTTTTTTTTTTTTTTTTTTGTTAGCAGTCACTTCTAGATTAAAAATGTGCATCCTCAGGACCGGTGCTGTGGTGTAGCAGGTAAAGCCGCCACCTGCAGTGCCAGCATCCCATATAGCTGCCAGTTTGAATCTGGGCTGCTCCACTTCCCATCTGGCTCTCTGCTATGGCCTGGAAAAGCAGTAGAAGGTGGCTTAAGTCCTTGGGCCCCTGCATCCACATGGGAGATCTGGAAGAAGCTCCTGGCTCCAGATCGGTGCAGTTCTGTTCATTGCGGCCATCTAAGAAGTGAACCAGCAGATGGAAGACTCTCTCTCTTTCTCTCTCTCTCTCTCCCTCCCTCTCCCTCCCTCTCCCCTATTCCTTCCTTCCCTCCCTCCCTCCCTCCCTCCCTCTGCCTTCTGTAACTCTGCCTTTCAAATAAATAAATAAATCTTTTTTTAAAATTTATTTATTTGACAGAGTTAGAAAGAGAGAGAAAGGTCTTCCTTCCGTTGGTTCACTCCCCAAATGGCCCCTACGGCCGGAGCTACGCCGATCCAAAGCCAGGAGCCAGGTGCTTCCTCCTGGTCTCCCATGCAGGTACAGGGACCCAAGCACCTGGGCCATCCTCCACTGCCTTCCCGGGCCACAACAGAGAGCCGGACTGGAAGAGGAGTAACTGGGACTAGAACCTGGAGCCCATACGGGATGCTGGTGCTGCAGGCGGAGGATTAACCAAGTGAGCCACGGTGCCAGCCCCAATAAGTAAATCTTAAAAAAAATAAAAAAATGCATCCTCGGAAGTAGGCACTTGGGTTAGCAGTTATGATGCCCATGTACCACCTGGGAGTACCTGGGCTTGATTGCCATCTCCTGACTCCAGCTTACTGCCAGTGCAGTACCTGGAAGGCAGCAGGTGATGGCTCCAGTGATCTGTCCTTTCCAAAGGCCCCAGCTGTTGCAGGCCTTTGGAAAGCGAACCAGCAGATGGGGGTTCTCTTGCAGGTTCTTAAAAAAATATTACGTGTGTGTGTGTGTGTGTGTGTGTGTGTACCCATATACACACATCCTTAAATTAGCAATCTATTTGGAATCAGTGTGTTACTTTGTCATCCTTGTATATCCTACTTCATAGCTGACAATTTCTTCCCACTATATAATGTAATTACATAACAGTATAATTTCATTTATTCATCCCCCATCCTCTGTACTATTTTTGTCATATTTTACTTGTAGATGGTAAATCTGACCTCACAATATTCATTTTTTTAAAGATTTATTTATTTGAGTGAGAGGCAGAGTTTCAGATTTACAGAGACAGAAAAATCTTCCATCTACTCGTTCACTCTCCAAATAGCCACAACAGGCAGAGTTGATGAGCTGATGAGGAGCTAGGAGCTTCTTCTGGGTCTCCCATGTGGGTGTAGGCGCCCAAGCACTTGGGCCATCTTCCACGGCTTTCCCAGGCAATAGCAGAGAGCTGGATCAGAAGAGGAGCAGCCGGGACTAGAACTAGCGCCCATATGGGATGCTGGCACTGCAGGCGCCGGCCCCACCTGAGGGGTTTTCATCTACAGGACTGACCATACAGTTCCTCCCCTCCCCTTACCACAACTTACGTGGCGACCACCCACAGCGGCCCCTACCCCCTTCTGCGCTCAGGACGCTGCACCAGCTTCAGTTAGCTGGCCCTTCGTTTCTTGTGGGGATCCTGTGTGGGAATGCCCACTGTGTTATGGCAACAGTTCAGTGAGGCTTCTCTCTTGTTCTTCTGTCTTACGTGTCAACTTTATTTGTAGTTCAACCAAAGAACCTAGAGGGGTGGAAGGGAGGCTTTTCCCCTATAAGAGCTTTAAGAACTGTTACTTCCTTATAGCTGGAAAGAGAAATGTGACCTGATTCTGCACGTTGTAATCTTACACAGTGGAAGTTCCACTTTCTCCCTTGCAATGATTGTTAAAAGTCCACTCAAAGTCTTGTGAAAATTCAATTTTTTGGTAATGTTTTCTTAAACTAATTTAGATAATTGATATAAGTAATTTAGAACTAAGGAATTATAGTTAAAATACTGATTGTGTTTGCTAAGTCATCTTAAGGCTTATGTTTTAAGAATGAATACTTCTTAAAGAAAAACATGTGCTTTATAATTTTTATAGGAAACTCAGAAAAAGAAGACTATGTCTCGTGGCAAAAGGAAAAAAACAAGCAATGAAGCTGGAGATTCAGGTACAGGATGGTGTTTTATTTCTTTATGGTTTATTTACTTACTCAGAGCCACCTCCCTTCTGCTGATTCCCTTGCCCCAAATGCTTACAACAGCTAGGGCTGGGCAAGACTGAAGTCAGGAACTCGTTCCAGGTCTCCCACGTGTGTGCCAGGGACCCAGCTAGCGGAGCCATGACCTGCTGCCTCCCAGGGTGCACATCAGTGGGAAGGCGGAACTGGGAGGGGACTTGGGACTGGAACGCAGGCCCTTGAGTATGGGGTGTGGGTCTCTCAGCAAATAAACCAACTGCCAAATGTCTGCCCCAGAATATGCATGATACTTTGTCACTTAGTCAAAGATGTAATGGAAAAAAGTGCTGATTGGTGAAAACAGTAAATTGTTACTGCTACTTTGAAAAATGAGGCATGTGTGACTTTGAGGTAACTATTTTTAATGTTTTGTCGTGAAAATTTTCAACATACAACAAACTGAATTTTACTGTGTATATTCACCTACTATCTGGATCTCACAGTTAACACTTGAGTTGTTACTTTGTCCATTAATCCATTTAATTCTTTAATGCATTTCAAAATAAATTTGACATTAGTACATTTCTTTTGAATTATTTCAATGTATACATCATTAGCCAGAGTTCTATGCTTGTTTACCATTTTTTCTTTTTCTTTTTTTTTTTAAAGATTTATTTGGGGCCAGCACTTTGGTGTAGTAAGTTAAGCCTCCACCTATGGCACCGGCATCCCATATGGGCACTGGTTCGTGTCCTGGCTGCTGCTCTTCTGGTCCAGCTCTCTGCTATGGCCTGGGGAAGCAGTAGAAGATGGGCCAAGCGCTTGGGCCCCTGCCACCCATGTAGACACCAGGATGAATCTCCTGGCTTTGGATCAGCCAAGCTTCAGCCATTGCAGCCATTCAGGGAGTGAACCAGCTGATAAGATTCTCTCTCTCTGGATCTCTGTGTGTGTGTTTGTGTGTGTCTCTCTCTCTCTCTCTCCTCTCTCTCTCTCTCTGTTTCTCCCTCTCTGTAACTCTGCCTCTCAAATAAATAAGTAAATCTTAAAAGATTTTGAGAGGCAGAGTTACAGATTGAGAGAGAAAAAGACATCCTCTATCTGTTAGTTCAGTGTCCAAATGGCTACAATGGTCAGTGCTGGGACAGGCTGAAGCCAGGAGCTAGGAGATTCATCCTGGTGTCCCACATGGATGGCAGGGACCCAAGCACTTGGCCACCCTCCATGGCTTTCCTATCACATTAGCAGGGAGCTGGGTAGGAAGTTGGACCATCAGGGACTCTAACTGGTGCTTATATGCAGCAGACTTAACCTGCTGTACCACAACACTGCCCTCCTAGTTCTTTTCTGTTCATGTAAAATCTGCAAACAGTGAAATGCCTAGATCTTGGGTATATAATAGCTGAATTTTGGGAAATGCAAACACTTGTGTAACTCAAACCACTATTAACATAACGATGCTTCCCATTCCTCCCGAAATTTCCCTGTTCCCTTTGATGCCTGTCCCCTCTTCACATTCCCAGAGACAGGGACTTTGGCGATCTTGTTTTCTACCATAGATTAGCTTTGCCTGGTGTGGGATTTTGCATGGATGGACTCCCACAGCATGTGCTCTGCTGTGGGTCCGCCTTGGTGTTGTGTGTGATGTCTGTCGTGTGTGGCATTGCGCTGCACCGCTGCACCACAGCCCTGCCGGCACTCCCTGATGGATGCTGACTGGATTCCAGGTTTTGGCCCTCATGAATAAAGCTGCCGTGAACCTTCTCTCACACATTTCCTTGTTAACACGTGTTTTGGTTTCTCTTGGGAAAATATAAAGAGTAGAGCTGCTGAGTCCTAGGGTAGTATATGTTTAATTTTACAAGAAACGACCAAATGTTAAAAACCATATGCCCAAAGTGATTGTGTGATTTTACACACCCACTAGAAGCTAAGGTGTAGATTTTTTTTTGGACAGGCAGAGTTAGAGAAAGGTCTTCCTTCCATTGGTCACCCCGAAATGGCCCTATGACAGGCGCACTGCGCCAATCTGAAGCCAGGAGCCAGGTGCTTCCTCCTGGTCTCTCATGCGGGTGCAGGGCCCAAGCACTTGGGCCATCCTCCACTGCACTCCCGGGCCACAGCAGAGAGCTGGACTGGAAGAGGAGCAAATAGAACAGAATCTGGCGCCCTGACCAGAACTAGAACCCAGAGTACCAGTGCCGCAGGCGGAGGATTAGCCTAGTGAGCCGAGGCGCCGGCCTGCAGTGTAGAATTTACTAAGAATAGAATGAGCAACTTCACGGGAAATAAATTTAAAATAGATGCAAAGGAGACACGTCTCCACTCTATCCCTGACTGTAGCATATAAACCTGTAGAAAAGAAGGCTGACAAAACTAGCTCTTCAAGATCACAACCAGGATAATCCTACAACCACCAGGGAAATACAGTCACTAGAGAAAAACATTCCTGTGGAGACAAAGCAAGAAGCAGTTAAGGCCTAGTTCCAGGCAATTTTCCGGGTGAGCCTAACAGCCACTTAAGGAACCCTCCACTCTAAGCCTGCGACAGTGACGTGGAAGGAGAGAAGGGAAGGTGCCCCGTGCGTCTCTGCAAACGGGCTGAATGTAGGACGAGATGGGGAAGGGCTGTGGCCATGTCCCCGCACGGGAAGACCAGCTGATGCCCTCTGTCTCCCATCCACTCGACAGTCATTTCAAGTGGAGAGAAGACTTCATTTGTGGGAGGTATGATCTGACAACTTTTAGAGAAAGTACAGGAGTGTATGACTCTGAATTCTTACAGAAGACACAAAAAGGTTAGCTGTGAAGGAAATGAGTAAGTTTAACTGATCAAATCAAGGACTTGTGCTCATCCAGAGACCATGAAGAAAGGCACAGGGTGAGACTCAAACAGCAGTAGCACATGGGGGTGATGCACACACTGCCAGCCTGGTAGAAGGAATGGGCAGGTGGCATTACGGATTTTTACCGGAGAAGAAACAGTGAAAGAAAGGTTCAAAGACAGTCCATTATGAGTGACAGAAATGTCAGCTTCAGTTATGATGAGACCCTTCTGCACCTACAGTAGCAGGATTCGTGCACAGAGACAAGACACCAAGGCTTTTAGTAGGAAGTAGTCTTTTTATTATTTATGCCAGCATAAGGCCCAGGTGGGATTTCTTATCTAAAAGCCTAAGCCCAGAACAAAGAGGGCTGTTTCCTTAGATATGGCTTTAGCCTCTTTGTCTCCCTCACTTGGTTCCATGCCTACATTGGATTGGATATTGTGATGTTACATGGCAGCCACAGGAATTGATGCAGTACTGGGCGTGTATACATTTTTCCTCCCACGCACATACTGAGCCGTAGCTGTCTGCAAGGGTCAACAGCATTGCTGTGTACTAGCAAGCAGGACCTGAAGTGGTCCATAGAGGCAGGTCGGGACTGCAGCGGAAGCATTCACAGGCAGGCAGGTAGCAGCCACACTTCATTCCCAGGACAGATGCTTCCCTTTTCCTTTTTCTGACCTTGGGAAGGCTCTGCCACAACTTTAATCCTTTTAGCAACAAGTTTAATTAAAAGACAAAGTCCTCTGCCACACGGCTGGATTGGCAGATAGTTAATTCTTCAGGGAATGAGGTTATGGGCGGTGAGAATCCTTACCCACTGCAGGTAGAAAGCTATGGTAACAATTTTGAAAACCATTTTGGCAACTTCGGTAATGTTGAAAATACACGAAGTCAGAAAACTGGCTGGTGCCTGTGATATATTTCCTAAAGAAATTCCTTGTGAAACGTATTTATGAGTGTTCGTAGCATTATTTTTTGTGCTGTTAAAATCCTGATAGCAGTGCTGGTGCCACGGCTCAGTAGGCTAATCCTTCACCTAGCGGCGCTGGCACACCGGGTTCTAGTCCCGGTCGGGGCGCCGGATTCTGTCCCGGTTGCCCCTCTTCCAGGCCAGCTCTCTGCTGTGGCCCGGGAGTGCAGTGGAGGATGGCCCGAGTGCTTGGGCCCTGCACCCCATGGGAGACCAGGAGAAGCACCTGGCTCCTGCCTTCAGATAGGCACGGTTTCCGGCTGCAGCGCAAACCAACGGCAAAGGAAGAGCTTTCCCTCTCTCTCTCTCTCTCACTGTCCACTCTGCCTGTTTAAAAAAAAAAAAAAAATCCTGAAAGCAATCAGTCATTGTAGAATTGATAGGTAAATTGTGATATACTTTTGCAATGAAATAGAAAATTAAAACTTTTGCTGGCATAAATATAAAAAAGTCAAAAATGTAAACTGAACTCTTGTTTAGGAATATGTATGTGCCTGTAGCATAAAATCATGAGGACTAATACAGTGATAAACAGACTACTGAATAGTGGTAACCTGCAGGTTGGCAGGGAGATGCGTGCAGGTGGGGGCCCACTGGCTGCTTCCCATGTTAATGTTCTCTTTCTCTAGCTGCTCAGTGATCTCAAGGTTGTGCACCTCCATATTTCACAGGCAAGTGTTCTCGTGTATAGAATATAACTCATAATTCTGGTGCAAAGATAAAAATGTTAAATAAGTAAAGACAGATTGGATATAATGGTTCTTCATAATTTTTGTTAATCTGTTCCTTAGAGCTTAAGGAAGATTTTATTTGGAGTAATAAGATCTTGAGATACTGTGTTTTGTTTAAAAAAATATATAGTACCTTTTGGAGGTTTCAAGATGGCAGAATTGGGAGGGAGCTTCCTGGTCTAGTCTAGGGAAAGATAGTTTAAAATAAAAAAAGATGAGAGATGACAATCTCAGGGAAGAGTTAGGGAGAAAACAGCAGAGGAAACTCCATGCAAATTAGAGGGACACAGTTGTCCTACATGGAGGTGTGGAGGTGACAACTCAGGGCCCCAGTACTCAAACAGTATTTTTCACTTTGTGTTTCTATGTGGGTGCAAACTGTTGAAATCTTTACTTAATATATGCTAAACTGATACTCTGTATATAAAGAGAATTGAAAATGAATCTTGATGTAAATGGAAGGGGAGATGGAGCGGGAAAGGGGAGGGTTGCGGGTGGGAGGGAAGTTATGGGGGGGAGCCATTGTAATCCATAAGCTGTACTTTGGAAATTATATTCATTAAATAAAATAAATAAATAAATAAATAAAAGCTCAAACTAGAACTGTAGGTCTTCAGAATTCTACTACAGAATATTACTGTAGCATTTTAAAACCATGCACTGAGTAATCATGTATTCTGCAAGTGGCCAGTTAACGGAGGGATTAAAGTTCACAAAATACTGTCCTTGCCGACAAGGACTTTATCGGGAGTGGTGTTGGACAGCTACACACAAGATAAAGGGCAGCAGAGCTTTTGGTTGCTTCAGCAGAAATGGGAGAACCAAAGAGACGGCAGGAAGAGAGTGAGCATACAGACGGGGTTTGTGAGGGAAGCAGTGGGCAGGAAGCAGTGAGGATGGCGCCTCCCATAGGATTCTTCAGCCGGAGCTGCCTTTACCCGATGGGAGGCACTGTTTTTGTTTCAAGCTTTCAGAACTCTGTCTCTAGAGCCAAATACGAACCATCAGCATGTTGAAGTTGACTTGTCTTGATATTCTAGGTATTTCTGACAGCGTGCATATTTGGTGTCTAGAAGGAAAAAAGAAGAGTGACCTCATGGAGTTGGATATTGTTTTGTCTGCATGTGAGAAAGCAATCCGGGAGCATAAGTAAGTCTTGATGTTCTAGTGCATACACGACTGATTCCCCTTCAGGTACGACTGTTGCTTAGTGGGCTTTTGTATGTCTTCTCATTATTCTTACATCTTAGATACTTTTGTTATGATTTTCCTTAATCCTGTGAGTCACTAGCAGTATGTTTTTATATGTCCAAATATGTGGCTTTTTAATTTGTATTTTTGTATGAACTCTACCTTAACTGTCGTCGTCAAAGATCCTGATGGTCTGGTGATACTGACTTGAAATGTTGAGGCTTTCTTTATGGCCTAGCACGTAATCCGTGCGGAATCTCTGAATACTAGATCTGGGGAGTTTAATTATTGCATCTGGATGGAACCAGTAATTACTCAGTTTTTCCTGGTATTTGTGCTGTATATATTTAGAGACCATTTTATTAGGAACATCATGCTTTAAATTGCTCTGTCTCAAAAATGAGACATTTATCATCAAGTAATGGTGACCTCCATTGCTAGAAATGCTGTTTTGTCTTACTATCTATTTTAGCTAATCTGATATGCATCACTAGCTTTCTTTTGCTAGCATTTGCCAGACGTGACATGCGTATCACAGGCGTACCTAAGACAGATCGCAGGTTTGCTTCCAGACCACTGCAGTAAAGCAAATGCCACAATAGAGTCACGAATTTTTGGTTTCCCAGCACATTTGGAAGTTACATTTATACCATACTGTAGGCTTTTAGGCATATAATAGCTTTGTGTCTAAAATATATATGTATAACTTAATTAAAAATATTGTATTGCTGAAAACCGGTAATGAGCTCTCTCCGTGAGTCATGCTGTTTTTGCTGGTGGAGGGATCTGGCCCCGAGGTTGACAGCTGCTGACTGATCAGGGTGGTAGATGCTGAGTGGCTTTGACAATTTCTTCAATAAGGCAAAAACGGAGTTTGCTGCACTGGTCGACTCTTCTTTCCCTGAAAGCGCTCTCTGGGGCATGAGATGCTGGTGGGCAGCACTTTGATCAGTCCTGACATTCTCTCTGCTTTCCCAGCGATGTCCATGCACGGTCTCAGTCTCCTGTTGTCACGTCAGCCGCGTCACAGCCTCTTCAGCAGGTGCGGGGGCCATCGGGAGAAGCCCCTTTCTCTGTTCAGCCCGAGCAGCAGCTCCTGTCTGCCAGGTTTGGTCATGAGAGCGCAGCCGTTGGGTCGCGTCTTCAGGCTCTGCTGGCAAGTCTGTGCTCTTGCTGCTTCCCTCACATCCGCGGTTACTTTCTCCACCAGTCCTGACCCCCGTCACTCATCCGGAAGTCCGGAAGGAGGGAAGCCACGTCTTTCAGGTCCTGTTGTTGTTGATAGTTCTGACCTCCTTGCAGGGATCGCGAAAGTTCTTGGTGGCATCTAGAACTGTGAATCCTTCCCAGGCCGGAGGGTGGGGGCCTGAAGCCAGGCTTCATCGTTTGGGCAACAGGCAGTCCCTTTCCAAGTGGCTTGTTGGAGAGGTGCAGGCACCACACGGACCCTGGTAGGGTGTCTGGGGGGCGTGCAGAAAGGCACGTGGCTCAGCATATTGTCTCAGCAGGTGCGGGGGCTTTCCCCGCAGCAAGCAGCCCACGAGGCTCCAGGTGAACGCTCTGTGCCGTTTCATCGGGGAGGCCTCGGTGGCCTGACAGCTTCTGACTATCCTTTGTTTTTCCTGACTTAGAAGTGGGAAGGTCTGCTAATGTATTTCTTAGATGCATGCATGCATGCAGCCATTTATCCCATTTGTTGTTTGTTGCACTGTTTTGGTTTTTATATCTACTATTTCTGCTTGGTTCTTTTTTGTGCCTTCAGTTCGCGTCGTTCCTGGTTAGCATCCTGGGAATACTGTCTAAAATCCATTTGATGGAATCAGCTCTCCTAGGGGTTTTCCTCTGGGAGCAGTTGTGCTGCTCTGGCATTGCTTCTCTGGCCTGGGAGCTTGTCAGGAGACAGGAGTGCCACGGATGGAGGCGGCAGGGCCGGGGAGCGGGAAGCCCAGTCGCTTGGCCGTCACCCCAGGCCCCGCAGAGAGCAGTGCCAGGAGGGTAGGTCACTCCCTGGGAAAGGTGAGGAAACAGCTGCCCAAGGTCAGTCTCCCCACTATTCCCCAGGCCTCACAGGCCCGGGGCTGCCTTTAGTCCTGAGGACCAGGAGACAGGGTCGAATCCCTGCCAGTGACAGGTGTCTGGGAGGCCGTGTGTGTGGGGACGGTGGGGAAGACACAGGAGCCGGCCCTCAACAGCCAGCCACAGCCTCAGCTCTCACCTTCCCCCTTTCAGAATCCCTCCCCTTGGGGTTCACAGCCTTGTCTGGTTCTGTGGCGGTTCCCCTCTGGGGTTCACCCGCATTGATGTGGCGTGGGGCGGGTCTGTCACACTAGAACTCAGCAGTGTCACTGTGAGGAGAGCCTGTTTTTTTCTTCTCTGCTCTATAATCCAGAGCCAGTTTGCTGTTAAAACTGGTTCTCTTAATGCACCAACACTGGCTTTTGTTATCCTTTTCTCATTCATAAATCACCTAAAGACTTACTATAGACTTGGGATATTTTAGGGAAACTGGCCTTGTTAATTTACCTTTTAGTATATTTTAAATTTTTATTTATTTGTTTGAGGGATAGAGGGAGCATCTATCTGCTGGTTCACTCCGCAAATGCCTACAATGGCTGGGGCTGGGGCTGGGCCTGGGCCGGGCCGAAGTCAGGAGGAAGGAACTCAATCCAGGTCTCCCACCTGATGGCAGGAGCCAAGTTACCTGAGCCACCAGCACTGCTTCCCAGGGTCTGAATTAGCAGGAAGCTAGAATCGGGAATGAGGGCCAGTTATCCAACCTAGGAGCTCTGATATGGGATGTGGATGTCTCAATCATTGGGCTAAAGAAATGCCTACCCTTGGGGCCGGCGCCATGGCACAGTAGGTTAATTTTCCGCCTGCAGCACCGGCATCCCATTTGGGCACTGGTTCGAGTCCTGGTTGCCCCTCTTCCAGTCCAGCTCTCTGCTGTGGCCTGGGAAAGCAGTGGAGGATGGCCCAGGTCCTTGGGTCCCTGCACCCTCATGGGAGACCCAGAAGAAGCTCCTGGTTCCTGGCTTCAGATCAGTGCAGTTCCAGCCATTGTGGCCATTGGGGAGTGAACCAACGGGAAGGAAGACCTGTTTCTTTCTCCTTCTCACTGCCTGTAACTCTACGTCTCAAATAAATAAAAACAGTCTTGAAAATAATAAATAAATGCCTACCCTTAGCATATTAAGTTCTTGGGAAGTGACTTAGGAAAGGGACAGATTGGAAAATCCAGGACCTAAAATGCTTGAAAATCTGAAACTGAGCACCAACATGAAGCCACAGTGGAACATTCCACACCTGACCTCATGTGACAGACTGCAGTCAGAACACATACTTAAAATGTCGCATAAAATTATCTTTAAGCCATGTGTTTCAGGTGTATATGAAATATAAATGAATTTTCATGTTTAGACTTGAGTCCCAGCCCCAAGAAGTCTCATTATGTATATGCACATACTCCAAAATCCAAAACAATTGCAATACAAAATGCTTCTGGTCCCCAGCAGTTTGGATAAAGAATACTTCACTTGCATTTTTCACAGACTTTTAAAATTACAAAACAACGTTGTTTTTTGTTGCATCAAACAATTCCTGTGAAATCACTGATCCATTGTGTTTTTGCAACCTCTAGGTTCTCAGCCACGTGGAGCACTTCCCACTTTCCAAATAAACACCTGTTTGGGGGTCTGCTATTTGTAATACACGTGACAAGCCTGAACAATTTTTTTTTGCTTGTCAACAGACTCGCTCGTTGTAAGCAGTATGTCAGTGTGTATAAGCAAGGAAGTATGTCATGAAATGCAGACATCGCACATTCTTAGGATACTCCATAACTAGGTCTGGAAGAAGTGGCCAGGTTTTTTAAGGCACTAAACTTGAAAGAGCTGTGTCTGAGCATCCTGTGTAGACTGTCACCTTGTGGCTGATAGAATCCATCAGTTTATCATCATTAGAATGAGCCGCAGCAGAGAGGCCTGGCCCGTTTTTCTTATTAAAAAAAAATTTTTTTTTTTGACAGGCAGAGTGGACAGAGATAGAGAGAGAAAGGTCTTCCTTTTCTGTTGGTTCATCCCCAAATGGCTGCTGTGGCCGGCGCACCGCGCTGATCCGATGGTAGGAGCCAGGTGCTTCCCCTGGTCTCCCATGTGGGTGCAGGGCCCAAGCACTTGGGCCATCCTCCACTGCACTCCCTGGCCACAGCACAGAGCTGGCCTGGAAGAGGGGCAACCGGGACAGAATCCAGTGCCCCGACCGGGACTAGAACCCAGTGTGCCAGCGCCACAGGTGGAGGATTAGCCTATTGAGTCATAGTGCTGGCCAAAAAATTTTTTTTCACATCTGAAAATTTGGTATCTATATTAAATTAGAAATTCTTCTTCACAAGATAGGATGTATAATTTGTACCTGTGATAACAGGATGTCATAAAACTTGCCATCTTAAGCATTTGTAAGTGCACAGGTCGGCAGTGTGAAGTAGATTGTCACTGTTGTGGACCCCGCTCTAGACACTGTTCATCTGGTCAAGCCCAAACCTGTGTCCATTAAACTATCCCCTTCTCACCAGCCCCTAGCAAGCACTCTTCTACTTTGTTCTGCAGACTTGACTACTCTGTGTAACTCATAAGTGGGATCATACATTTGAGGGTACTTAAAAACAAAATGGAATTAAAAGATAGTTATTTGGTGCACAAAATTTTGAAACCCATGCATAGTTTTGCCCTAAAATCCATTTTCCACAAACCTTCTGAAGACCCCTCATATGCGTCCCTTTGTAATTAGCTTATTTCACGCATATGTCCTCAGGGTTAATCCACGTGGTGGCCATGTTTTCAGAATTTCCTTTTTAAGGCAAATAGAAGCTTTAAACGGATGCAGCTCCATTTGTCTGTTCTTGCTTTTGTTATCTGTGTGTTGATGTGACATGCAATCCCTATTTTTTCCCCTTAGGATGTTACTGTTTTAGTCTTTAATGCATTCTGAGTGCATTTTGAAGTATGCATAGTGTAAGGTAAGGGCCAGCTTCACTTATTTTACAGGTGGACCTGCAGATTTTCTAACACCCCTTGCTGAAGAGCCTGCCTTCCCCATTATGTAGTGCTGGCACCACACTGATGATCAGAAGCCCCCAGTGTACGTGAAAGTTTGTTTCTGGATTTGCTATGCAGTGTTATTGGTCTGTGTTTCTGTCTGTATTCCAGTGCCATCCTGTTTTGACTACTGTAGCTTTGTAATATGTTTCTAAATCAGAAAGTATGAGGCCTGCAGCTTTCTTAAGATTGTTTTGGCTTTCTGGAGTCTTTTGATAGTCACATGAATTTTAGGATTTTTTTCTAGTGCTGCAAAAGATGTCACTGGACTTTTGATAGGAGGTGCAGCGAATCTGTGTATTAAGTTTTCTAGTCAATAAGCATGGAATGTCCTTCCAGTTATTTGTGTCTCTTTCTCCGCATTCCTGCCAACACCCGTGTTCTGGTGGTGTTTACAGTAGTCATCCCAGTGAGTAGAGTGCCATGTAGACCTGTCTGCATTCCCCTCGTGTTAGTGTTGCGTGTCTTTTCAGGTGCTTCATGACCATTTGTATCTTTGGAGAAAATGAGTGATACAGCAGAGAGATACAAATTATTGTTTAATTTTTTTTTTCATTTTATTTGAAAGGGAGAGGGAAGGGGTAGAAGAGAGATACTGATTTCTTCCATCTACTGTGGTTCACTCCCCAAATGCCTACAATAGCCGAGGCTGGGCCAGGCCAAATCCAGGAGCCAGGAAGTCAGTCCGGGTCCCCCACATGGCTGGCAGGGACCCAACACTGAGCCACCACCTGCCGCCTCCAGGGGTGCACGTCAGCAGGGAGCTAGATTCGAAGCAGAGCTGGAACTCAAACCAGGCACGCTGATGTGGGCTATGGGCCGCCCAAGCAATGGCTTCACCACTGCATCAAACCCCTGCTCCCAAGAGTTCTAAATTCAAACAGTAAAACAAATGCCAGAGATAAGAAACACTGTACAAGCTGAGTGTCCTTTATCTGAAGTGTTTGGGACTGAAAATGTTTGATTTCTGAGCTTTTCAGATTTTGGAATACCTGCACACTTAATTGGTTGAGTGTCTTTAATCCAAGAATCCAAAACTGAGTGTAATGTTGGCACTCAGCATTTTGGATTTCAGAGCGTTTTGGATGCTGGGTTTTTAGATGAGGGGTGTTCAACCTATTATGGATAGCTATAGACTGCAGGCTACTTCAGCAACACAGAATACACATTCTTCTCAAGATCACAAGGAATATTTGTCAAGACAGATCACAATCTAGGCCATAAAAAACACAACCCTAAGAAATGTAAAATAATAGAAATCTTACAGTGTCTGGTTGCAGACAGATAGCTGGAAAAAAATTTTTAAATACTTGGCAATTAAACAACATACTTTTTTTTTTTTTTTTTTTGACAGAGTAGACAGAAAGGTCTTCCTTTGCCGTTGGTTCACCCTCCAATGGCCACTGCGGCCGGCGCAGCGTGCTGATCCGATGGCAGGAGCCAGGTGCTTCTCCTGGTCTCCCACGGGGTGCAGGGCCCAAGCACTTGGGCCATCCTCCACTGCACTCCCGGGCCACAGCAGAGAGCTGGCCTGGAAGAGGGGCAACCAGGACAGAATCCAGCGCTCTGACCGGGACTAGAACCCGGTGTGCCGGCGCCGCAGGCTGAGGATTAGCCTAGTGAGCCGCGGCGCCGGCCACAACATACTTATAAAGAACATGTATGTCAAAGAAGAAATCTTAACAGAAAACTAAATGTGTTTGAACTAAAGTGAAAAATATGGGATGCCAGGAAAGCAGTGCATCAGTCATCTAACTCATCTTAGCAATCCAGGTACAGAAGCAAAGGAAACCCAAAGTAAGCAGGAGACTAATAGTAAAAATTGGAGAAGAAATTAAATAAATTGAATATAGGAGCTCACGTGTTCTGGTTTGAGTATGATTTGCCTCTAAACTCATGCAGCATGTTAAACCCCAAAGTCGTTAAGTTAATGGTTCTAAGAGGAAGGAGGTAGTCCAGCTAAGGTGATTTGAAGAGGGTCCCTGGGTCACTGGGGTGAGCCGTCAGATGTGGTTCTAACCGCAGGGTTGCTTAACAGTGTGAGCTTGGGCACAACCACTCTCTGGCTTGCCCATCCGTTGGTGAAGGGCACTTCTGGTCATTTTCTTTGCTGAGACATGTTTCCTAGATTGTCTGAGAAAGTACCACAGGCTGAATATTACATCTTAAATTTTTTTAAATGGTACATGCCAAGTTGTGCATGGTATATTACATATGCTAAGCCGGAGAAACACATTTCAAAATCCTTCATGATACCTAATTTGATCCCTCTTTTTAACTCCTCTACAGAGAAAGAATAGAATCTAAAATTTGTAAAGAAGCCATCAATAAATTTCATTGTAATATTAAAGAAGAACTCATCAAAATGGTAAGCTCACTGACAAATTTCTTGGCCTAAGGTTTTTCAGCTTATCCTGAGGCAGTATGCTGTTAGCATAGAAAAGCTTGCATTTTCTGGCAATATGGTAATAAAGTCATTAGCACTACTCATATTTTACATGCTATTTTTAAATTAAATGTAACCTATGTCAAAATGATTAATCTTGGGAAATGCACAGGAATTATCTTTCGTTTCATACAGCTTAAAGAAGCCCAGATGTTGAAAAACCTGAAAAGGAAGAACGCTAAAGTAAGTGACGTCAGCAATTAGGGTGATGTGACTACACGATACTAACACAGGTGGTTAGGACCTGACTTTGGGGTTTGCTGCCTTTAGAATTTTGTGTAAGAATTTTTATCTTTTTAGACTCTTATTTGGTTGATGTTCAAGGAAGTGCTATTAAATCTTTTTGAAAGATGTCTCAGTTGGTCTAAAAATGGCTATCAACGTCCAAAATGGTCCCTTATATGGGTACATGTTGAGTAATGTACATTTATTGCTTTTGTGAGTGTCAAAAAGCAAAACCTTTTAGAGCACTGTCTAAGGCAAAAGGGCAGCCCAGGAAGAACACCAGATTAGGAGTCCTAAGACCTCACCTGTAGTCCTGGCTCTGCCCCCTCAGTAGGCAGCAGTGGGAAACAAGCCAGTGAACACGGGATTCCCCTTTGCTTGTTTGTGAATGAATGGACCGAATGACCTCAGAGGTTCCACCACCAAACTTCCACGAATCCAGGAGTGCAAAGTCACTGTTCCTCTGCATTGGTAACAGAAATGACCTTGAGAAATATACATTTGTCTTCTGGCAATTACACATCTTTTTTTCTTTCAACTGTAATCTCATTTTGGTCATTTCTACATTGTTTATGGATGTCCAACAGCAGAGTTTTAGGTAGTGACTAATGAGACCTCTGAGATAAGAAAACTTATTGAAATAGTTTTAAAAATACAAAACAGAGGCTGGCGCCACGGCTCACTAGGCTAGTCCTCCGCCTTGCGGCACCGGCATGCTGGATTCTGTCCCGGTTGCCCCTCTTCCAGGCCAGCTCTCTGCTGTGGTCAGGGAGTGCAGTGGAGGATGGCCCAAGCCCTTGGGCCCTGCACCCCATGGGAGACCAGGAGAAGCACCTGGCTCCTACCATCGGATCAGTGCGGTGTGCCGGCTGCAGCGGCCATTGGAGGGTGAACCAACAGCAAAGGAAGACCTTTCTCTCTGTCTCTCTCTCTCTCACTGTCCACTCTGCCTGTCAAAAAAAAAAAAAATACAAAACAGATCACAACATTGTCCTGCAAGATCACATCTGTCTAGCTCATGGGATCTACTGAGGATCTAGCCCCTCACCTTCTCCAGATCATCCTGAAGTAGATCCCCCACCCACACTATTCCAAGGTTCCCTCTTTTCCTGGCGGTACACATCACAAAATTAACAAAGAAATTACTCTTACTTAGGTGATTGCAGATATCAAGAAGAAAAGGCAGCGTTTGGTTGAAGTCCAGGATGAACTGCTTCGGTAAGATAGCAACAGTCCTGTGACAGAACATACCTCAAGGAACCCAAGTGTGCTACGTCATCGGGAGGCGTTAATACTTGCTGCTGTGCCATACGAAAACTCCAGGTTATCTTTGAATTTGGATGCTCAGTGAGGGCAGGTTATGCTACGTCACTGTAGACCCCATTAGCAAGGGAGGATTTGCCACTGATGTCCCGACTTCTCTCAGCTGTGGCCTGAGAGGCACCCCACTTAAATTCATGCATAAATTAATGAAGTTAGACTGCCTGGCTTTGAATCCAGGCTCGGCCCCTCACTGCCCGTGCAACTTTAGCCAAGTCACTTAACCTGTTAATAACTCCGTTCCCTCTTTAGTATAAAGGCGTAATGCTATCTAACAGACCATCGGGTGTTGTGAGAAGTGCTTCATGGGGATGGCACATGGTTAAGTGCTGTATAAATGTTGGCAGTTTGTGTTGGTGAAACACAAACACCGTGGGTGGCACTCATGTGAATCCACATTCCCAGAACTGGCCAGCCGGGGTCTGGTTGCAAAGACTGGAGCCCAGAGCAGCCTGCAAGTGTTTCTTCCTGCTCTTCTGTACGTGTTGCGTGAGCTGGGAGTGTGATAGTAAAGCAGTACCAGGGAGGCTGTCTGCTCTGAAGGTGTACGACAGCTGAGAAAGGCCGGGAGAAAAGACAGTGAAGCACAAAGTACTGTCGCAGGAGTTGAAGAGGGAGAAATTGGTTGTCTAGTCCTTTGGTTTCCAAATTTAGACTACAGACAGGTGCTGGCCCAGGCTACAGCTAAGAACAGCCAAGGTAATACGACAGCCTACATCTAGCAGTCCCCTGGGTGCGGGGCGCTTTCCTGATTTCACCCATTGATCGTCCCTGTCATCAGTGAGGGAGGTTATTATCTCTGGTGATAAGGCTTCATTACATATTTTAAAAACACACTTCTTTAGTTCCTTTTCTACTGGAGAGGTATATTATTGTTTTAACTTTACGTTGGGAAAACTAGGCACGGAGAGGTAACATACCAACAGTCAAACCCCACAGAAGTGGGGAAGCTAGGATTCGCTGTCAGACCCCAATTCTCCCAGCTCAGTAGTGAGTCTAACAAAACGCTGCACTTGTCCACTGTAAAGGACAGCTTACAGGACTTATGTTGTGACATCATAGTAGACAAGAGTTTAGTTAGCATTTTTTTATTTAACAAAATAAAACTCCTTTTCTATTCCCTTTGTCTATAAGATCCAAGTTCTCTCTGAGAGCTGACGCAGCTGGCCCCAGCGGCTCATCTGCGAGGCTGAAAGCTGCCTTTCTCCTACATTTCAAATTGAAACCCGGAGCCTTTCATGCATTCCTGCTGTCAGAGCTGAAGGTAGACGGAGCAGCCACCACCCTGGTGTTCCATCCTTCACCCGGTGTACTTCTTTTCGCTCTAGGTTAGAGCCCCAGCTGATACAGCTACAAACAAAATACGACGAACTTAAGGAGAGAAAGTCATCCCTGAGGACGGCAGCAGATTTCCTATCTAATTTAAAACAGCTCTATCACGAGTACTCAGATCTTCAAGAGAAAGAACCAGACACAAAGGAAACGGTAACTTGGAGTTTTTTTTTACTTTCGACTCTGCCTCAGGAGGGGAGCTGCAGCAGTACAGGAAAACCCGGGCTCACTGAGTTCAGTAAGGGAAGAGTAGGCTTTGCACAACCACATTTTTTATGTCTAGCTCATGTTCTTGGTACATGTATCTAAAAAGCCATTATCTATAAATGGCAAGAAAAAGCAATATTATTGGATTAATAAAAAAAAGTAACTACAAAATTTTTTATTTGAAAGTCACAGGTAGAGGAGAGACAGATCTTCCCTCTAGTGGTTCACGCCCCCAGACGGCTGCAACAGCCAGTGCTGGGCCAGGACCTTCACGTGGGTCTCCCACTGCTTTTCCCAGGCCGTCAGCAGGGAGCAGCCGGGACATGAACTGGTGCTCATATGGGATGTTGTTAGGCCACAGCAGTGGCCCCCATTTCTGGACTTTTTAATATACACTTTAAGTTGTCCACCTAGTATAATTTTACATAAAATGTTACCAGATTTGTTTTCTAAATTCAGCTTTAAATTTTGACACTGATGCAGTTTTCCTGAGCCCAAAGTACCTAACTAGTCTAAAGCTTAAGTGGACTTGGTTATTAAATTTAGAAAAATAGCAACCACTTTCATTAAAACAAATTCAGCGACTGTACCTTTAGACCATATCACTCCCAGCTGTGTTCTCAGCCTCACCTCTTTTCCTAAACTAAACCTGTAGCACCAAGCAAGTTCTCCTCCCTCCACTCCCTGAGAGCAGGTGCTTAGTGTCTTAATTAGGCTCTTGAATTCTCTCAACATATGGTAAATTGTATGCCAGGAAAAAAATCCACTGTTTTCTAGGTAGTAGTCAGAAAACTAAAGAGGAATTTAATCAATTTTGGGTTGGCTTACTAGTTTAAACTCATGAGTTGATTTTGTTCGACTTGCATAGTAATTTTGTCTTATTGGAAGGATCAGTTCCATGATTAAAGTTTTCTTAGAGTGGATTTAGAGCTTTTTTTCCCTTATGAGCTATTATAAGCTGGGTGTTCTCATCCTTTGGTTCTTCCAGTAAAAGTAAACCTGCCTAATGTTTTTTGTTGTGTGTTTTAAAATAGACATGAGATCAGACAGACTTGCTCAAACCAAGTCTTGACCTGCCCCAGGCACTCAGATGTACAGAGCCACTCCTTTGCAACGTTCTACGAATTCTATCCTAAGGAAATGAATTAAAACCAATTGTAAAAGTGAAAGGAAGAGGAGTTGACAAGTTAGATCTTTTCCATTGGTTTCAGATTGAACTATGTAAAGATAGGATTGTAACAGTTTTTGATATTAGCTAATCTGAATTATTTTCTTTCAACAGTATGATTCATCCAGCCTTCCAGCTCTGTTATTTAAAGCAAGAACCTTTTTGGGAGCTGAAAATCATTTGCAAAATATCAACCACCAATTAGAGAATCTCCTTGACCAGGACTGAGGAGACAGCTGTACTGAAATGTGCCAACTTAGTCCCCTGCGGCCTCTGAAAACAAGTAGGGTCCAGTCCCCAGGATTTAGTACTGATTAATAGTTTTAGAGGCCATGATCCTTTTAGGATAATGTCTTGAGTAATTTAAAAATGTTGAAACCCTATCTGAATCAGCCCCAAACATGTATGTTTTAACCTGTAAAATTAAGACAATGAACATAGACTAAATACTACAGTTAATTTCCAATAAAATTGATTTACTTACATTATTTTCCAAGTAACATTTGACAGACTGAATATAATTTTTTGTTACAAATCTCGCAGATTACAGGCTGCTTATGTGATGTCCACAGTTGGCTACTCTTGTAATACTTCCATAATGAGGTCATCAGGAATCTCATCCACTCCACTACTGTGACTCAGAAGACTGCTCTCTGCAGCCTCTGCTAATTCAGCATCTTCAGTGGCTTCTAAAAAGCAAGCATCATCCATGCCATTGTCCCAGCCAGGGTCAGAGGATGCACCAGGGGACGGTTTATGAGGGCTCGTGGTTTCATTGTTCCTAGTTTCGTCTGTTGTAAATTCTTCTTCCTTTAAAAAAAAAAATCTAGTTGTAATTCTACATAGACTGAATATATAATGAAATCACCACATATTAAGATCTTAAGACCAGTTCGATAGGAATGAGAATATTAACTGTTTCTGGAGTTGGCTCAGATACTCCTTAGACTCCCCATTTGAAACTGCCTGCAGTTCTGTGGCACAGATGTTTCAGCATCCCCAGCAGGTGCTACAGCAAGGACAGACTTAACTGTTCAAGTGGCCTGTGTACCTGTTAAAGACAAACTGCCAAGGACTAATCACTAAGGCTTACATGAGATAATAGTGATGTTAAATTTCCTTAAATTAGGTGTGGAGCCTCTGTCTGGGGCACCAGCATCCTGTAGGGGCACTGGTTCAAGTCCCAGCTGGGCCCTGCACCACGTGGGAGACCCAGAAGCAGCTGTTGCAGCCATTTGGGGAGTGGAGGGAAGACTTCAGTCTCTCAAATATACCTTAAAAAGGAAAGGCCCCACAGAGTATTATGTATACTTACTGGTTTTAAAAATATGAGCCCAGATAAAAATGTTGTAATATTATGAGGAAGATTTTAAATTATTTGGGCAAATAAAGATCTTTGAAAGAAATTTTGGTGGTATTATTGGATTGTCAAACCACGATTAAAACTGCTGGCATAGTGGGTGAAGCTGCTACCTGCAGTGCCAGTATCCCCTATGGACACCAGTTTGAGATCCAGCTCTCTGCTGTGGCCTGGGAAAGCAGTGGAAGATGGCCCAAGTACTTGGGCCCCTGCACCCTCGTGGGAGACCCAGAAGAAGCTCCTGGCTTCGTATTGGCGCAGTTCTGGCTGTTGTAGCCAGTTGGGGAGTGAACCAGCAGATGGAAGACCTCTCTCTGTGTAACTCTGACTTTCAAATAAATCTTTGGGGGAAAAAATGGCAGCAAAGGGTATATGCAATTTTTTTATTTGAAAGGCAGAGTCACAAAGATCCCACATCTACTAGTTCATTCCCCCCAAATAACCATAACAGCCAGGGCTAGGCCAAGAACCTGGAATGCAATCCAGATCTCCCATGTGGGCTGCAGGAAGCAGAGGAGGCAGACAAGAACTGGGCACTCTGATATGTCTGCTGCAAGCACTGTGCCAGAAAGAAAGAAGGGTATTTTGGTTTATACAACCAGAAACCTCTTTAATGTCTAGGACTGGTTAAAGTGTACTAAGTCTTATGCAGTAAAGAGTGAGGTATGTGTCATTAAATATATACTGAGGTAGGAAAATCACCAAGATGGATCTTCAAGTGAAAACAATGTGTTACAAACATTGTGCTTAAAAAGCTTAGTGGAGGCGGGTGCCACGGCTCACTAGGCTAATCCTCCGCCTGTGGTGCTGGCACCCTGGGTTCTAGTCCTGGCTGCTCCTCTTCCAGCTCTCTGCTGTGGCCTGGGAAGGCAGTGGAGGATGGCCCAGGTGCTTGAGCCCCTGCACCCGCATGGGAGACTGGGAGGAAGCACCTGGCTTTGGCACGGCGCAGCGTGCTGGTCATGGCAGCCATTTGGGGGGTGAACCAACAGAAGAAAGACCTTTCTCTCTCTCTCCCTAACTCTGCCTGTCAAAAAAAAAAAAAAAAAGCTTAGTGGACAGTGCTCCTGGTTCATTTATACTATAATACCAAGACTTAGTAATGACAATGATACAAAACTGCACTTACCTCTTTGAAAAGAAACAAAAGACACACTTCAGCAGGTAATGGCAAACCTGAATCAGAAAGATAGTAAAACTGTTTTTATGTAAACATTAACTTTTACTTTATGGTAAATGTAAAAATTAATAACTCACAGTCAGTTTTGAAGTTTTCTGCTTTACATATAGGATCATGACATTTTTGATACCAAACTTCATTTTTCAGATCAACCAGAATCCTTTGTTTAAAAAAAGAAAAGTATTAAGACCTAAGCTGTATAGAAAAATAAATCCAACTCAATGCTGTCTAGAAGAAACATGACTAAATCTTCAACTAAAAAGTAAAAACAAGATACACAACAAACAAAACCAGTTGCCTAAAATATCACACAAAATGGACTTCAGGAGGAAAATGCACACAGTGACAGAAGATCTCCCCGAAAGATAGAACAGCTCTCTCCCTGTGTCCATCAAATTGCACAAAATGGAATTTGAGCATTGGTCTTTAAGAGGCGCATATTACTTACACATATACATACTATTACATGTAATATTTCACAGCTAAAAATAATTGGATATAATTTTTTTTTTTGTAAATGTCCACGCACAGAAGACTAGAAAGATGCATCAGTGCTAACTGTAGTTTTCACTGGGTTATAGGACTGTGGGGATCTTTTTTGGTGACAGCTTGGTGTATTGAGCATATAATTCTCTTTTAAGATTTATTTATTTTTAAAGGGAGGGAGGGAGGGAGGGAAACACACATGGAAGCAACAGAGATTTCTCTCCACACTGGCTCTTTCCCAGTGTGGCTACAAACTGCCAAAGCCAGGAGCCTGGAACTCCACCCAGATCTCCCTCACGGGTGACAGACCCAAGCTCTTGGGCCATCTGCTGCTTTCCCAGGCGCTTTAGACGGACAGGAGAGCAGCCAGGACTTGAACTGGTGCTCTGGCATGGAACAGCAGCACTGCAAGCTGCAGCTTACTGTGCTAGGCCACAACAGTGGCCCAAGAATAGAGCTTTTCAAGATTGTTTTTAATTTAAGAATATCAACCATAGCACTGAATCATGCCACACATTTTCCAACACACACTTGGATCATCTCCCCCTTCTAGCACATGTGCTATGTAAGAGTATCAGCTTTGACATTAAATATGAAATAACATTTCCCATGTTGTAACTAGATTTCTGTTTTATCCCCCTTCTGACTATATCCCTTTATTATTTTAAATTATATTTCTAGTTTTACTTCATCTTTTTACTTCCTCTTGTTTTGCCAGGAGCATTTTAAAAAATTACCTAAAACAGGGCCTGGCATTTCTAACAAGCATCCAATAGCTCAGTAATGTGTGATTTATCTATATGCAGTTAACACAGCCTTAACCTCCAGCTCTGTAGCACTGAGGAGTTGTCGTCTTGCCGTAATCGGCCCAGTTTCAATCACTTCCACAGGTATCTAGAACACCCTTTTCATCACATCCACTCCCTGCCTGCTGCTTGCTTTTTAGTCCTTAATCTACTTCAGTCTTCAAGATTATAGACTATGTCATTTTATCAAAGGACAAATAAAGCTGCCGTATGTTAGAAGCAATGTAATAAGATCTCTGAATATTATAAACCCCAACAAATGTAATAATCTAATTAGTTTAACTTGTTACATTTTTATATTGTCAGCTTTATTTCAAAGTTGTAAACATGGGGCCAGTGCTGTGGCTTAGTAGGCTAAGCTTCCACCTGCAGCATCAGCATCCCAAATGGGCACCAGTTTGTGTCCTGGCTACTTCTCTTCCGATCCAGCTCTCTGCTTATGGCCTGGGAAAGCAGTGGACCCCTGCTTCTATGTACGAGACTCAGAAGAAGCTTCTGGCTCCAGGCTCCTCATCACCTCTGTTCCTGCCATTGCAGCCTTTTGGGGAGTGAACCAGTGGATGGAAGACCTCTGTCTCTCCATCTCTCTAACTCTGCCTCTCAAATAAATTTAAAAACAATCTTTAAAAAAAAAAGTTATAAACATTCAGAATACATCTCAGCATTAATAAACAAGATTACTTACATGATGTTATTACTCTTGTGGGCTCTTCCAATGTTCTCACACCAGCGATATTTGAAAATATCATAAACCAACAACTGTTCTGGGAAAAAGTAGCTCCAACGCCTAATTCCTAAAATATAAAGAATGTTTCTAAAGATATCATGACTCTATCCTATAACAGTTAATAAAAAATAAGATGAGTTGTACCTCCTTTAATGTCATTTTTAGTCACCAAGGAAAGAACAAACTGATCGACTTCAGGGTAGGGTGAACACTGAAAACCTTCGATGGTTCCTACTGCAACAGAGAAGAATTATTTAAAAATTGTAACATCTGAAAGTTGAGAACTTAAATTTTAAGTTGCTGTTTAGAACAGTTACGGGTTTTGCAACCCTTCCAGTTTGGGTGGGTGTTTTTTTGGGCGGGGGGGGGGTGGTTTGGCAATTCGCAGTTAGCTCATAGGTTCTTTTATCCTACAGGGAAGTAGATAACATTGATAAGGCCACTCTGTGGTCATGAGGACTCACGACTAAAACGAGAGCACTCTGTAATCATGTCTGAACAGTCAGAACATGAGCATTTTGCAAACCACAAAAATCACCAACTGCCCCCCTACTCTGGCCAACTGCTGTGGCCGTACCACCATAGCTTCAGTTTCCCTCTAGCCCGCCTGCATTCTAGATAACAGCTACAGAGCTACCCAGAACTGTCCCTGACAACACCCAACTCGGAACAAGCCCAACCTTCCTACAAAGCAGCCTCCCACTGTTTCCAGGACTAACTGACTCAACTTGCTTGCTATGGGTGTGTTCCCTGTGGTCTTTAGGGGGCACTAACAGTTCAATTATATTTGTACCTAAAACTCTATTGTAATGTAGAATGATGCATTTAAAACTTCATGGAGGGGTTAATGTTGTAGTGCAGTGGGCTAAGCTGCTACTGTCAACACTGGAATCCTGTATCAGAGTGCTGATGTGAGTCCGGGCTGCTTTGCCTGCAATCCAGCTTCCTGCTAACGTGCCTATGCAGAATATGGCCTAAGCACCTATTTGGGACACCAGGATGTCCTAGCCCCTGGCTTTAGCCTGCCCCAGACTTGACTGTTGTAGCCATTTGTGCGGGTGAACCAATGAAAACAAGATCATTTTGTCTCTCCCTTATCCCACCCACCACCCACCTCTCTGTTGCTCTGCCTTTTAAATAAACAAAATTAAATAAAATTCTATTTAAGTTTTTTTATTTTTTTTAAGATGTATTTTACTTGAAAGGCAGAGTTACAGAGAGGCAGAGACACAGAGGGGTCTTCCGTCCACTTGTTCACTCCCCAAGTGGCCACAATGACGAGCTGGGCCGATCTAAAGCCAGGAGCCAAGAGCTTCTTGATCTCCCACGTGGGTTCAGAGGCCCAAGGACTGGAGCCATCTTCCACTGCTTTCCTAGGCCATAGCAGAGAGCTGGATTGGAAGTGGAGCAGCCAAGACTCGAGCCGGCACCCATAAGGGATGCCAGCTCTATAGGTGGCAGCTATACCCACTATGACACAGCAATGGCCCCCCTATTTAAGTTTTGAAGACAAATAGTTTTCTTAAAATGAAGTCTATATTTCCCTTATGAAAATAAGTGGAGAGATTTTAGAAAATATATTAATGTGGGGGCTGGCACTGTGGCATAGTGGTAAAGCCGCAGCCTGCAGTGCCAGCTTCCTATATGGGCACTGGTTCAAGTCCTGGCTGCTCCACTTCTGATCCAGCTCTCTGCTATGGCTTAGAAAAGCAGTAGAAGGATGGTCCAAATCATTGGGCCCCTATACCCTTGTGAGAGACTGGAAGAAGTTCCTGGCTTCGATCGGCACAGCTCCAGCCATTGCGACATCTGGGCAATGAACCAGCAGATTAAAGACTCATTCTCTCTCTCTCTCTCTCTCTCTCTCTCTCTCTAATTGAAGGCCCTCTCCCTGTTTTTGCCTCTCTAACTCTGCCTTTCAAATAAATCTTTAAAAAAATAAAGAAAATATATTAATGTAAAAATGAGAGAAGTGAGTTCCAGATCAATGTCAAGAAATACATGTTAAACAACCAGGGGAAACAAATGTGTAAGAAAATGTCACCCAGGCAGTTCCCACGTGTAGGGATGTGAGGAGCAGGCTGCAGCTCTTCACTGGCCACCTTCGGCCTGGCAGGTCAACTTGTCCACACTGAATGTGCTCTGGCTGCAGTAGGTGCAGGAGCTCCTTCAGTGCGAACTACAGGTGCAAACCATATGGGCATTTGGTGCACCAGTTAAGTGCTGCCTGGGATGCTCACCTCCCATACAACACTTGCATTCAAGTCCTTGCCACACTCCTGATTCCAGCGTCCTGCTAATGCTCAGACCAGAGAGCAGCAGATGATGGTCAAGGAATCAGAGTCCCTACCAACCATGTGGGAGACCCGGATGGAGTTCCAGGCTTCTCACTTCAGCCTGCCCACCCCAAACTGCCGCAAGCATTTGGGGAGTGAACCAATGGATGGAAAATCTTTCAAATAAATAAAAACTGATAAAATTCTAAAAAGCTGCGAATGCTTCCAAGAAACCACTCCCACAGCTCAAATGGTACAGGAGCTCTGGGATGCAAGACTTAGTCACAGTCGGGTACTGTCTATCTGGAGTTTCTTAATTTTGGTTGGGATGAAAGGCAGCCGTATTTATTTTAGTCAGAACCATCTGGAGCTTACTTTGCCTGGAAAGCCACAACAATGGGAAAGAACCAAGCGCATGGGAAAACTTTCAGATTTCCATTATATCTTTTTTTTTTTTTTTTTGAGACAGGCAGAGTTAGTGAGAGACAGAGAAACAGAGAGAAAGGTCTTTCTTCCGTTGGTTCACCCCCTAATGGCTGCTACGGCCAGCGCGCTGCGCTGATCTGAAGCCGGAGCGGGGTACTTCCTCCTGGTCTCCCTTGCGGGTGCAGGGCCCAAGCACCTGGGCCATCCTCCACTGTACTCCCGGGCCACAGCAGAGAGCTGGATTGGAAGAGGAGCAACCGGGACAGAACCTGGTGCCACAACCGGGACTAGAACACGGGGTACTGGCGCCGCAGGCGGAGGATTAGCTTAGTGAGTCATGGCACCGGCCTTTTTTTTTTTTAAAAGATTTGTTTGTTTATTTGAAAGTCAGAATTACACAGAGAGGAGAGGCAGAGAGAGAGAGAGGTCTTCCATCCACTGGTTCACTCCCCCAGTTGGCCACAACGGCTGGAGCTGGGCGGATCCGAAGCCAGGAGCCAGGAGCCAGGAGCTTCCTTCGAGTCTCCCACAAGGGTGCAGGGACCCAAGGACCTGGGCCATCTTCTACTGCTTTCCCAGGCCATAGCAGAGAGCTGGATCAGAAAAGGAGCAGCCGGGACTCGAACCGGCACCCATATAGGATGCCTGTGTTCCTGGCCAGGGCATTAACCAGACGAGCCACAGTGCCGGTTCTGTCATTATATCTTTTCAAGAAAACTTGAAGATGCCCTTCACACAGCCATTTTAACCCTAAAGAAAAGTTTTCTAGGGCAAATGACATAAGTTACAGGGAAGCTGGAATCTGCAATGAAGCTGGATTTAGGAGGCATATTCCAACTGAAGCAAACGATCATTGGCTGCTGTGACGTAATAACAAAGCTACTGAACAAGCCCAAATTTCAGATAACCATTTAAACATGTTTAAAGTACAGATTATTTTGCAGACTTTTTGCATACCACTCTTAAGGATTTTTATTTATTTCCACTTTATTTGAAAGGCACTGAGACAGACAGAGAGATCCTCTATTCCCTGGTTCACTCCCCAGATGCCTCAGGTCTGAGCCCGGCTGAAGGCAGGAGCCCAGAACTCACCTGGGTTTCCCACCTGGGACTCAAGTACTGGAGCCGTTACTGGCTGCCTCTGAGGACGCTTACTGGCAGGAAGCAGGATCGGGAGTGGAGTAGCAGGAACCCAAACCAGGCATTCCAACGTGGGCTATCAGAGTTTCAAGCAACGACCTGACTCCTACTGCACCAAGCAGGTGGCACATGGTTGAATGGGTTGTTTTCAATGACCAAAACCATAATAAACTGTTAAATCTACCAAAAAAAGTTACACTAACTTGTGGTCATACCATATGAAATTTTAGTGCCTTTTGTATCTTATCATAAATGGGTATTTTACATATTATATAGGCTTTATAAATTTAAATTTAATGGCTACAGAATATTGGTATGTCACCAATCCAATTTTGTTGTACCTTTAATTGTTTTTCCCTACTTATAATAAAGCAATATACTGAAACATATTAATAAAAATATTTACTGGAGGGTTTATGTAAGGAATCTTAAGAGAAAATCCGCACTTCTTCAGGACGAGCATGGGTGAATCCTGATAGAGCCGTTCTACAAAAACTGTGCAGTCACTACAAGCATGAGGAAGATCTCCCTGTACTGAAAATACAGGGGGAGCTCTGCAGGACCAAGTAGCAAACTACTGCAGGGTCCCCCTCTTGGACTGCGGACAAAAGCGTAAAGAGAATTTTTACTTTATTTTCATGTGTTTATCAAAAAATCTAATCACCTTATACTGTTTTGAAAAATTCCATACAATGAAAACTAGTAAATACTTTAATAATCTTTAAAACCATTTTTCACTTTGAATAGCAACCTCAAAGTAATCTCCAGTAATCAGCAGAGATGAATACTTAAGTTGTATGACCTTTTAAGGCAAAGTGAGTTTTTAATCATTAAATTCTGATAGAAAATTACTTTTAAAATTACCTGAAGGGCTGGTACTATTAAAGTGCTTCATTCGCTTTCTTTTATTCTGAGGTGTGTCACATGTTAGAATTCGTAAAGTATCTGAGAATCTGAAGAAAATAATTAAAAATTATATTAGAATTAAACAAGCAGGGATATATAGAAAGAAAACTAAATTCCAAATAGATCTGTAACTAAGCCACATTTCTCCACAAAAACACCAATTCTATTCATCTAAAAAAAAGTATGATTTGTCAGTTAAAACAATAAGAAATTTGTCAGTTTAAAAGAGTAGGATGATCACTGTTCAGCAGTTTTCTCAGGGGGAAGTCTGGCCTGAGAGTTAAGATGCCACTTATGACATTTGCATCACAAATCCAGGAGCCTGGGTTGAATCTCAGCCCTGCTTCTGATTCCAGCTTCCTGCTAACCTGCACCTGGGAGGCAACAGTGATAGTTCAACTATTTAGGTCCCTGCCACCCACATGAGAAACCCAGACTGAGTTCCTGGCTCCCAACTTCAGCCTGGCCCAACCCTGCATGTTGTGGGCATTTGGGGAATGAACTACCGTACTATTCCCCAAACACATGGAGCCTTTGAAATTTGTTATAAACCCGTGAATAAAAAAGAAAAAACCGTGAATAAGCAAAATATGAAGAAAAAAAGATTAAAGGGAAAAACTGATTAAAATTTACTCAAAGAAAAGGCACATTTGTAATCAAAAAATTTAGCCTTGGCTCCTTGAAATAAAAATATCTGGTATATACTTAGACACACAAAAGAAAAGTAAGATAATTTTTATTTTTTTTAAAGATTTATTTATTTATTTGAAAGTCAATTACACAGGGAGAGGAGGAGAGGCAGAGAGAGAGAGAAAGAGGTCTTCCATCTGCTGGTTCACTTCCCAATTGGCTGCAACAGCTGGAGCTGAGCCGATCTGAAGCCAGGAGCCAGAAGTTTCTTCCAGGTCTACCAACGGGTTCAGGGGCCCAAGCACTTGGGCCATCTTCTGCTGCTTTCCCAGGCCATGGCAGACAGCTGGATTGGAAGTGGAGCAGCCGAGATTTGAACCGGTGCCCATATGGGATGCCAGCACTGCAGGTGGCAGCTTTACCCGCTATGCCACAGCTCCGGCTCCTGTAATCCTACATTTTTTTAAAGATTTATTTTTATTTATTTGAAAGACGGAGAGGTAGAGACAGAGAGAGAGAGGTCTTCCATCTACTGGTTCACTCCTCAGGTGGCCGCAATGGCTGGAGCTGTGCTGATCCAAAGCCAGGAGCCAGGAGCTTCTTCTGGGTCTCCCACGTGGGTGCAGGGGCCCAAGGACTTGGGCCATCTTCACGGCTATCGTGGGCCACAGCAGAGAGCTGGATCAGAAGAGGAGCAGCAGGGACTAGAACCGGCGTCCATATGGGATGCCGGCGCTTCAGGCCAGGGCTTTAACCCGCTGTACCACAGCACCAGAAAAAAAATCTATTTCTTTGAAAGTGAGAATTATAGAGAAAGGGAGAGATACAGAGAGTGGTCTTCCATCTGTTGGTATATTCCCCAAGGAGCCACAACAGCCAGGGGTGGACCCGGCTGAAGCCAGGAGACAGGAGCTTCATCCAGGTCTTCCATGTGGGTGCAGGGCCCAAGGACTTGGGCCATCATTCCCTGCTTTCCCAGGCACATGAACAGGGAGCTGGATCTGAAGTGGAGCAGCTGGGACTTGAACTGGCACCCATTGGGATGCCAGCACTGTAGTCAGCAACTTTACCAGCTGTACCACAGCGTGGGCCCTGAGGTAATCCTATTCGACGGAAGAGCCCTCCATTGTCTGTAGGATCGATATTGGAACACAGCAGGAGATACACAATTTTGATACAACTCCTAGACTCTCAGATCCACCACTAGTGCCAACTGACATCTCCTGAGATGCTAACATGTGCTGGGCACTGTTTTAAGTATTTTATGTGAACGGTTTTAACATATTTAATTCTACTAAAAATTCTGAAAATAGGTGGTATTATGTCCACTTTAAAAAATAAAGGAAGTGGGGCCAGCGCTGTGGCGTAGCAGGCTAAGCCTCCACCTGCAGCACCAGCATCCCACATGGGCCAGGTTCACGTCTCAGCTGATTCTCTTCCGGTCCAGCTCAGGTAGTTGTTTTCATTCTTTATAAAAGTGATATTCATTTTAGAAAAACTGAAAAATACGTGATATAATCATTTAAAAGATGCAAAGAGGAGCCGGCGCCGCGGCTCACTAGGCTAATCCTCTGCCTTGCGGCGCTGGCACACCAGGTGCTAGTCCCGGTCAGGCTGCCGGATTCTGTCCCGGTTGCCTCTCTTCCAGGCCAGCTCTCTGTGGTGGCCAGGGAGTGCAGTAGAGGATGGCCCAAGTACTGGGACCCTGCACCCCATAGGAGACCAGGAGAAGCACCTGGCTCCTGCCATCGATCAGCGTGGTGTGCCGGTCATAATGCCTCGGCCACGGCGGCCATTGGAGGGTGAGCCAACGGCAAAGGAAGACCTTTCTCTCTGTCTCTCTCTCTCACCGTCCACTCTGTCAAAAAAAAAAAAAAAAAATGATACAGAGAGGAAACTAAGTGGCTAAAAATCTCAGAAAAGAGTATTTTAAGAATGGAGAGTCATTTTCTTGAGATAGGATGAATTTACACAATTCACTTTTTAGCAATATGCAATAGCATTCATGACTGAATAATCAGGAGTATACAACAGTTTAATTTTTGCCTACATACCTGACATTGCATACAAAAGAAGAGAGGAAATACTGGTTTTCTTCAGGAATCGTTTTTGATTGTTTAGGAAAGAATTTGTTATCTTCAGCAATCTCCAAAGCCACATGCTTTCCTAGTTTTGATGACTTATACAGCCGGAAGTTCCTATTTCTTGTATAAACTCCTACATCAAAAATTAGTAAAGTAGTATGTATGAAATCTGTGCAATTTCCATGAAGATTCTGAAGAACCCTTGCAAGCACAGATTTCAAGAATTGTTTGCACCAAAATAAATTTATTTTTTAGTCTGATTTTCCATGAGCCTTTTGAGGTACTCTGGTATAGCTAGTAACAAAATTACATCAGTATATAAAAGAAGATAATTTAGAATTGACATGGAAGAATGCTATTTCCAGAAAGTACAAGCTAGACAGTTTTGTATCAACTTTTCAATTGAAAATAAATGGGGGCACGTGCTGTGGCACACTAAGTTAGTTCTCTGCTTGCGGCGTCTGCATCCCATATTGTGAGAGGCCAGAGCCACACCACGACAGGCTTCTCACAAGACAAAGGAAGTGGCTAGGCCCAGGATGCTTCTCTGTGCTGAAACCTGACACTGGGCAGTCCTTGGTCTGCCAGGACCAGGTGGGGGCAATCAATAAGGTGGGCCATCCTTGGTCCAGCAGGGCCAGGGGAAAGAAGGAATGCAGACAACGTAATACTTGTTTGCCTGGGGACTATAAAAACCCTGGGGGGGGGGGCAGCACCATGGCTCACTTGGTTAATCTTCCGCCTGCGGTGCCACCATCCATATGGGCGCCAGGTCCTAGTCCCAGTTACTCCTCTTCCAGTCCAGCTCTCTGCTGTGGCCTGGAAGGCAGCGGAGGATGGCCCAAGTGCTTGGCCCCTGCACCCGCATGGGAGACCAGGAGGAAGCACCTGGCTCCTGGCTTTGGGTTTTTTTTCTGCATCCTATTTGAACTCTTTATTTAACATAGAGTTAATCTTACATATATAAAGTCAATTGAAAATAGATATCAGTAAAACATAAGAGTGGGAATAAGGGAGGGAGGAGGATGTTTTTAACTATTAATATATATAGTTCTGCATACATTCCTACAGACTTACTTCTAAGGATACAGTTAAAAATTTGTCAAGGGACTCCAAATCCCATTAAACTTGGTGGTAAAAATGCCATCTTAATTGTTGAAGTGATCATATTAACTGTTAAAGTGAACATATAGGCAGGATCAAGTGCCTGGTAATAGAATTAAAAAGGAGAGGATGTCCAACATGGGAAGCAGTCCACACAACAGACTCATAGAATGACAATCACTTTAAATAACACTCTGACCTCAGAATCAGCCCTTAAGGCTTCCTGGTCTGGCTGAAAAGCCCATGAGAGCATTTCAAGCATGGAAAGCCAAGACACTGTGGCAAAAAATGTTCTACATGAAGGATCTCTGTGAGAGAGATCCCAGTGAAAAGAAGTCGCCATCAAAGAAGGATGTACTTTTATCTAAAGGAAGGACAGAACTTCCACTTTGCTTATGGCCTTGTCCAAATACTGACGGAGTTTGTGGACTCAAAAGGCTTCCATAGCCCAGACAGCTCATTTCAAGAGCCTCGGGTGGTCACTAACGTCATACATAAGAGTGTTAATTGTTAAATTAACAACAGGAGTCACTGTGCACTAACTCCCCATGCAGGACCTTTGTCCTCAATGAGTTGTATTGAGAATTAATTGTAAAACCAGTTTCCCAGGTTTGTGTGTGTGTGTGTGCACGCACAAGTGCACACACAAATTGTTGAAATCTACTTAACATAGAGTTGGTCTTCTGTGTACAAAGTTAATTGAAAATCAATCTTAATGGAGAATGGTACTGGCAAGCAGAGAAGAAGGAAGAGAAGGGTTGGGAGTGTGGGTGGGAGGGCTGATATGGTGAGAAGAATAACTATATTCCTAAAGTTGTACCTATGAAATTTGTATTCCTTAAAAATAAATTTCAAAAAAATTTTTAAATATTAATTTTTTAAAAAAGTTAATACAGATAAGCAGAATATCTTCAAGACCCTGGGATAAGCAAAGATATTTTACAGAATTCCAATAAATAACCACAGAGGAAAACACTAATAAATCAGACTATTACTATTATTTAAAGGTAGTAACTTTGATTCATCAAAGACACCATGGCTCAATAGGCTAATCCTCCACCTAGCGGCGCCAGCACACCGGGTTCTAGTCCTGGTCGGGGCGCCGGATTCTGTCCCAGTTGCCCCTCTTCCAGGCCAGCTCTCTGCTGTGGCCAGGGAGTGCAGTGGAGGATGGCCCAAGTGCTTGGGCCCTGCACCCCATGGGAGACCAGGAGAAGTACCTGGCTCCTGCCATCAGATCAGCATGGTGCGCCGGCCACGGTGGCCATTGGAGGGTGAACCAACGGCAAAGGAAGACCTTTTTCTCTGTCTCTCTCTCTCACTGTCTACTCTGCCTGTCAAAAAAAAAAAAAAAAAAAAAAGAAAAAAAAAGAAAAAAGAAAAGAAAATAAAAAATATATATACTATGGAGAGAGAATTCTACAATCTGCAAGAGAACAGCTTCAAGTCACACTTAAGGGAGTTCCCACGAGACCAACAGCAGATTCCTCAAAAGAAACCTTACAAGCCAAGAGGGAAAGTGATATATTACAAGTTCTGAAGAAAAAAAACAACTGTCAATTAAGAACACTATACTTGGAAAAGCTCTTTCACAAATGAACAAGAAATATTTACTAAGATGAGAAAAACAGACTTCATCACCACCAGATTGCCTTACAAAAAATGCTTAAGGAAGTGCTACAGAGAAAAGCAAAAGAAAGATAATTATCACCATAAAAACTGTATAAAAGTTTAAAAATACTAGAAAAAAAACAAAGAATATTCAAAATAAAAAGAAATTTTTAAAAAAGGACTAATTCATAACTTACCAAAAAATAACTTTAAATTTAAATGAACTAACTTCTCTAAATAAAAGATACACACGGCTGAATGGGTTAAAAAAAAAAAAGTCCAAGGGCCAGTACTGTGGCACAGTAGGCTACGCCTCTGCCTTCAGCACCAGCATCCTACATGGGCATTAGTTTGTGTCCCAGCTGCTTCTCTTCCGATCCAGCTCTCTGGTAGGGCCTGGAAAATTAGAAGATGGCCCAAGCACTTGGACCCGAAAGAAGCTCCAGGCATCTGGCTTCATATCGGCCGAGCTCTGGTCATTGCAGCCATTTGGAGAGTGAACCAACAGATGGAAGATCTTTCTCTTTGTCTCTCCCTCTCTCTGACTGTAACTGTCTCTCAAATAAATAGATAAAATCTTAAAAAAAATACAAAAAAAGTTCAGTGATATACTGCCTACAAGAAACTTAAATCCCCAATAAAGAAAGACACCGGCTGAAAGTGAAAGGATGGAAAAAGATATCCCCTGCAAATGGAACCAGAAATGAGCAGGAATAACTGTACTCATCAGACAATATGACTTTAAGACAAAAACTGTAAAGAGACAAAGAAAGTCATTATGTAATGATCAAAGGATCAATTCATCAAAAAGATGACTTTAAGTGTTTTTGCAAGGCTACAGTGCCAAATTTCATAAAGCAAACATCAGATATAAAGGGAGAGATAAGCCTCAACACAACAATAGTGGGGGACATAAACACCGTTTCCATCAGTAGAAAGATCATCCAGACCAAAAGAAAAATCAGCAAAGAAATATCATAGTTAAACTATATCACAGGGGCAAGCATTTGGTGCAATAGTTGAGACGTTCTTGGGACACCAGCATCCTATAGCAGAGTGCCTGGGGCTGAGTACTACATACACCCCTGACTCCAGCTTCCTGATATTGCGTACCTTGGGAGGCAACAGGTGATGGCTCAAGTAGTTGGATCCCTGTACCCAAATAAGAGACCAGATTAGCTTCCTGGATCCCAGCTTGGACCTGGCCCAGCTCAGCTACTGTGGGCACTTAGGAAATGAATTAGAAGATAGGAGAGCGCTCTCTTTGTCTCTTCCTGCCTTTCAGAATAATTAAACTGTACAATAAACTAAGTGAACCTAATGACATTTATAAAACATTTCATCCAACAGCTGTAGAGTACACATTCCTTTCATCAACATATTAAGATCTCAAGAATAAACCATACACTATGGCACAAAACAAGTCTCAAGAAAAAAAAATAATCAAAATCATAACATTTGTCTTTTCTGACCACAATGGAATAAAAACTAGAAATGAACAGCAAAATTAACTTTAGGAATTATAAAAATATATGGGGCAGGCCAGTGCTGTGGTGCAATGGGTTAAAGCCCTGTCCTGCAGCATTGGCATCCCATATGGACACCAGTTCGAGTCCCAGCTGCTCCACTTCCTATCTAGCTCCCTGCTAATGCACCTGGGAAAGCAGCAGAGGATGGATCAAGTCCTTGGGCCCCTGCATCCACATGTGAGACCCAGAGGAGCTCCTGGCTCCTGACTTCAGATAGGCTCAGCTCTGCCCATTGCAGTCATTTGGGGAGTGAATCAAAGCAATCAAAAGGAAATATTAAAATTCCTTGAAACAAACAAAAATAGAAACACAACAAATCTATAGGATACAACAAAATGTATGGCATGAAGCAAAAGCAGTACTAAGAAGTTTACAGCAATAAGCAGTTACATAAAAAAAAAAAAAACACCCCTAATGATGTATCATAGGTAACTGAAAAAAAAAAGCAATTCCAAAGTTAATAGGACAAAATTACAAAAGTCAAAGAAGTAAATCCGAGAAAATAAAAATACAAAAGATCAATGATAATTTGGATTTTTGAAGAGATGAACAAAAATCCAAAAACATTTAACAAGAGTAACCAGAAAATGAGAGAAGACTAAAATAAATCCAGAGGTAAAAAACACATTATAACTCAAACCAGAGTAGGAACTATTTGAAACTATACAATTAAAAAATTAGAAAATCTAGAATAAATGAATAAATTTCTGGACAACTACTCAAATTGCACCATGCAGACATAGAAAACCTGAACAGACCAACAGCAGCAATGAAATTCAATTATTAATAGGAAGTCTTAAAGAACAAGACCCAGAGGAAGCTCCTGGCTCCTGGCTTCAGATTGGCTCACCTCTGACCGTTGCAACCATCTGAGGAGTGAATTAGTGGATGGAAGACCTCTCTGTCTGTAACTCTGCCTCTCAAATAAATAAATCTTTTTTAAAAAGAACAAAGCTGGAGGTATCACAATACCTGATTTCAAGACATACTATAGAACTACAATAAGATAAAATTTAAACAACAAAAATCTGCATGTACTATTAAATTTCTGAAACTTTCAAAGGATAGTTCAAGTAAAATACTTCCTCATCCTCTTTTAATATGTAAATATATATTGTTAAAATGTGTCATTCAAGAATACCAGAGAAATTTCCTGACTGTTTTCCTGTTATTTCTTCCTAATTCCTATTATTTCCCAGTAATGTGACTTCAAGGATAGAACGGTCATGAACGGGGGTATTCTGTTTAGGGACTTCAACACTGGGTTAGAGGCACAGCATATTTATTGGATAATGTTGCTCTTACTGTTATGCATTATCTTTGCTTGATCCTAGGCCTACCAAAACTGACACATTGCACTTACCCGACTTAGATTTCCAAATTCTGGCACTTGATTCAGGGACACTGGAAAGATAATCAGGAACAATTCTCTAACCTTGGTACCACTGTCAGCCCGAAAACATTGCCCCAAATTAAAGCCCACTTGCCCTCAACCTGTGTGCACTGCAGCTCTCTGAAGTGCTCAATGGCAAAAATGCTCTTACAGCTTTCCAAATCACAAGTTAGAACTTCATTAGGTTGTATATTACATCAGGCTTAAGTCTTGCCACACTAGAGCCTTCTACACACTCAGGTTCAGAGACCCAAACAGAGCACGGTTGGGTGCAGAAGTCACCAGTCTGTGAAAGAAGGCTAACTCGAGGCTCCCGGCCAGGATCAAAAGCCTGCCCTGCCTCCACCACAAAGCTCTTCAGGGAAGAGCAAGCTCAGCCTTGCTTTGTGATGTGAGTACCATTTTTATATTGTTTCTCAAGTTGACTGAATCTGCTTTAAACTCTTGGCATGCTGGAGGGTGCAGGTCTCCCCATTCCCTCACAGAACTCCCTGGACACTTGGAGCAGAGCATGCCACAAGCACTCTCGTTCAGAGCCCAGGCCAGGCTGGGGCTTCTGTTCCACAGGGATCGCCCCAAGATCTCTGAACTGAAGCCTTGTGGATTCCCCAAGCCTAAGCGGGCTGATCACATTCTGTTCCTGACCTGCACTGTCGCTGGGGAGCGCGATGATAATGAGATGGTAATGAGATCCCTGTGCACAGTGACAGTGAGCATGGACAGGTGTCTCACAAGAGGACATCAGGGCAGTCAGAAAGAAACAACTGTCAATGTTACTTACCTAGATCTACAAAAAGATGCTTTTCTCCCACATTATTCTTCACAACTAAAAATGAAAGATCAGGATCGCTTTGCTTCGCTGATCCCAGCCGCCTCGGCTTCTCTGAATTCAGTGTCCAGCTCTCTCCTGTGTCCTTATCTGGGGACATTTTGTTATATGAAGCCCCTTGTTTTGTTGGTGCTTCAGAAAAGTGGGAAAATCCCTGGTCCACTGTCTCTGAAATGCTATCATCATCTTCACTGGCAATTAACTGAAGAGCAGGCTGCAAAATTGTTCTCACAAAATTACCTAAGGAAAAAAAGGTGTTATGATTAATTCTTTCATGTGAACTGGAATTCAAGATTCAGATTCAAATCTGCACATGAAAGGCATTTCCTTTGATTTCTGGTTTTAAAATTGTTTTGGTAGAAACTATAACACATCTCTCTTCCTTCAAGCTATGCAATCTTTTACTTTTTAAACTTCCATTGGCAGGAAGCTTGTTGCAATTTGGAAACAAACCATTTTAGAAGAGAAAGTTAATTTGCGGTGTGTCAATGTTGCTAGCATAGATCTAACCCTAACATGTCATCAAAAAAGCACCATTTTTTAAAGAACTTCTTTTTAGAGTTTCTATTTTGAGAGGCAGAGAGCCATAGAGACAAACAGAATTCCCTTCCACTGGTTCACTCCCCAAATGCCCACAACAGACCGGCTGGGCCAAATCAAAGTCAGGAGCTAGGAACTCAACGTATATCTCACAGGAGCATGGCAGGGACCACTATTTGAACCATCACCTGCTGCCTCCCAGGCTAATAGCAGAAAACTGTGATCAAAAGTGGAGCCAGGCCGGCGCCGTGGCTCACTAGGCTAATCCTCCACCTTGCGGCGCCGGCACACCGGGTTCTAGTCCCGGTCAGGGCGCCGGATTCTGTCCCGGTTGCCCCTCTTCCAGGCCAGCCCTCTGCTGTGGCCAGGGAGTGCAGTGGAGGATGGCCCAGGTGCTTGGGCCCTGCACCCCATGGGAGACCAGGAAAAGCACCTGGCTCCTGGCTCCTGCCATCGGATCAGCGCGGTGCGCCGGCCGCAGCGCGCCGGCCGCGGCGGCCATTGGAGGGTGAACCAACGGCAAAAGAAGACCTTTCTCTCTGTCTCTCTCTCTCACTGTCCACTCTGCCTGTCAAAAAAAAAAAAAAAAAAAAAAAAAAAAAAGTGGAGCCAGACTCAAGCTGAGGCACTCTGATATGGGATGTGTGTTTCCCAAGCAGGGTCTTAACCACTAGGCTAAACGCCTGTCCTCATCACTTTGATTAATGAGAACAGAGTTGAATTGTTTTTGCTATTAATGAATAAAGAACACAGTTTATATGAGGAAATGGCTCCAAGACGATGGTGAGAAACACTGCGAGAACCTCTGCCTTACCCTCCTGGTATCCAGATGGTGGCAAACTTCTTAGGAACTCATTCTCTCTCCTTTGCCTGCCACGGCATGCCAGGAGAACCGTGCCTCCCACAGCTGAAAGGCTGTGGCTCCTGCTATCCCTCCCCCACATTTGTTGTGGGATGGCCTATGGCCTTGGGGGTAAAAAAGTATAAAAATATACTTTTCCCAACTACATTTATCCTGAAAGTTCTGAATAACAGAGGTTCAGAAAAAAAGTGGAGAGAGTGTGATCTTAGCGAAAAATTAGGAAGAAAGCCACAGAAGAAATGACATGCAAATTAGAGGGACATTTGGACCTATATGGAGGATGTGGACACACCCAACTCAGGACCAGCAGCTGAGAACTTCAGCACCAGCTGTGGAGAGTGCAGTGAGACCAGACTGTAGCAGCCCAAGCCACTGGTGATAAAGCTGTGGTAAAAGCCCAGCAGGAATCCAGCTTGGAGCCCTGTGGGGGACAGTGTACCTGCCAAACTAGAAGAGAAAAAAAGGTGGCATGTTCCTCTCTCCCCGACCACCCTGCACCAGCATCCTGTAACAAGCCGAGGGAGGGTGGGCACTATTTGGACTTATGTAAGAGCTACACCAGTTCATGTCCATGCGCCCAGCGACTAGCCAAGCAGAGACACCCAAGACTGGCTGGGAGAACCGATGGGGCTGAGTGCTTGTGACCGTGGGAGGCTTGTGAGCCCGGACTGTGAGAAACGCTTGGCTGTGTGGGAGGGCTCAGGGTGTGCATGGGACTTTGCACAGTCACTGTGGGAGGCTCCCCATGCTCCTGGATTCCCTGGTGAGGGTCATTGCTATGGCATCCATGGTCACATCAAGGACTGCCCAGATTCGCTGTGTGCTTCTTGTGGCAGTGCAGATGCAGATTGTACCCACTAGGGCTAGCACCCAGGCACTGGTCTCCTTTGAGGAGAGGAGGTGAGCAAGAGAATAAGCCAATAGAGCAGAACTAACCTCCTCTCTGCTAAGTAAGTAAGTAAGTAAATAGAAGATTTACCACATCAAAATGAAATCTTGGAAATGAAGAATTCAATAGAACAAGCAGAAAATGCAATGGAAATCCTTAGCAACAGACTCGGTGAAGCAGAAAAAAGAATATCCAAGTTAAAGACAGATTGCTGGAAATTTTATAGTCAGACCAAAAAAAGAAAAATTAGAAAACTAAAAAACACTGTTGGACATCTATGGGATACTATCAAATGACCCAAAACAAACAAAATTGATACACCATTGGCCCAATTAAAAAAAAAAGGGAGAAGACAGAAATCAATAAAATTAGAGATGAAAGAGAAAATTTAACAATAGACACCACAGAAATAATAAGCCCATGAGAGTATTTCAGGCATGGAAAGCCAAAACACTCTGGGGGGGAAAAAAAAAAAAAACACCTAAATGAAAGATCTCCGCGAGTGAGATCCCAGTGGAAAGAATGGGTCATCAAAGGAGGAGGTACCCTTCTCTGAAGGGAGGAGAGAACCTCCACTTTGACCATGGCCTTGTCTAAATATGATCAGAGTCAGTGAACTCAGGGGGCTTCCATAGCCTTGGCAGCTCATGACGAGAGCCTAGGGTGATTACTGAGGCCATAAACAAGAGTGTCAATTTGTTAAGTCAACAACAGGAGTCACTGTGCACTTACTCCTCATGTAGGATCTTTGTCCTTAGTGTGCTGTACATTGAGATTTAATGCTATAACTAGTACTCAAACAGTATTTTTCACTTTATGTTTTTGTGTGGGAGCAAACTGTTGAAATCTTTACTTAATGTATGCTAAACTGATCTTCTGTATATAAAGAGAAATGAAAATGAATTTTGTGTGAATGGAAGGGGAGAGGGAGTGGGAAAGGGGAGGGTTGTGGGTGGGAGGGACGTTATGGAGGGGGAAGCCATTGTAATCCATAAGCTGTACTTTGGAAATTTATATTCATTAAATAAAAGTTTGAAAAAAAATAAAAAAAAGATAGGAGAAAAAAAAATAAAAAGAATCATCAGGAATTACTACAAAGAGCTGTATTTCAACAAACTGGGAAACACAGAAGAAATGGATAGATTCCTGGACACATACAACCTACCTAAATTGAGCCATGAAGACACAGAAAACCCAAACAGATCAACAGTCCAGACAGAAATTGAATCAGTAATAAAGACCCTCCCAAAAAAGAAAAGCCCAGGACCAGATACCTTCACTGCTGAATTCTACCAGACATTAAAGAACTAACTCCAATTCTTCTCAAGCTATTCAAAAGAACTGAAAGGGAGGGAATCCTCCCAAATTCCTTCTATGAAGACAGCATCACCTTAATTCCTACACCTGTACAAAAGAACTACACAGATACAACAAAGAGAACTACAGACCAATTTCCCTGATGAACACAGACGCAAAAATCTTCAACAAAATTCTAGCCAACTGAATCCAACAACACAATCAGAAAGATCATTCAGCTATACCAAGTGGGATTTATCCCTGGTAGGCAAGGATGGTTCAATATTTGCTAATCAATGTGATATACCACATTAACAAACTGAAAAACAAAACCCATATGATTATCTCAATAGATGCAGAGAAAGCATTTGGTAAAATACAACACCCTTTCATGATGAAAACTCTAAGCATTCTTCAACACAATCAAGGCAATTTATGACAAACCCATGGCCAGCATCCTTTTGAATGGGGAAAAACTGGAAGCATCCCACAGAGATCCGGAACCAGACAGGGATGTCCACTCTCACCATTACTATTCAATATAGTCCTGGACGTTATAGCCAGAGCCATTAGGCAAGAAAAAGAAATCAAAAGGATACAAATTGGGAAAGAGGAAGTCAAACTATCCCTATTTGCAGACGGCATGATTCTATATATATGGGATCCAAAAGATGCCACTAAGAGACTATTGGAACTCATAGAAGAGTTCGGTAAAGATTCAGGATATAAAATCAACACAAAAAAATCAACAGCTTTTATATACACAGACAATGCCATGGCTGAGAAAGAACATCTTCAACAAATGGTGCTGGGAAAACCAGATCACCACATGCAGAACATTATTTGAAAGTCAGAGTTACACAGTGAGAGGAGAGGCAAAGAGAGAGAGAGAGAGAGAGAGGTCTTCCATCTGCTGGTTCACTCTCCAATTGGCTGCAACGGTAGGATCTGCGTCGATCCAAAGCCAGGAGCTTTTTCTGCGTCTCCCACACAGGTGCAGGGGTCCAAGGACTTAGGGCATTTTCTACGGCATTCCCAGGCCACAGCAGAGAGCTAGATGGGAAGTGAAGCAGCCAGGACTCGAACCAGTGCCCATATGGGATGCCAGCACTGCAGGCAGCGGCTTTACCTGCTATGCCAAAGCACCAGCTCCAAGAAAGAACTTCTAAGATGAATCCCATTCACAATAGCCACACACACACACACACAAAAAAATCAAATACCTTGTAATAAATTTAAACAAGGATGTCAAAGATTTCTACAATGAGAATTACAAAACATTAAAGAAATAAAAGCCACCAAAAACTGAAAAAATCTTCCATGTTCATGAATTAGAATAATTAAAATGTCCATATTACTGAAAGCAATTTACAGATTCAATGCAATACCAATCAAAATACCAAGGACATTCTTCTCAGATACATTAAAAAATGCTGAAATTCATATGGAAACACAGGAGACCCCAAACAGCTAAATCAATCTAATACAACAAAAACAAAGCCAGAGACATCACAATACCAGATTTCAAGATATACAGGACAGTTATAATAAAAACAGCCTGGTACTGATACAAAAACAGATGGATAGACCAATGGAACAAAACAGAAATGCCAGAAATCAATCCACACATCTACAACCAACTTATCTTTGACA